TGGCTTTGGATCAGCACAGCGCACTGGCCATGGCAGCCATTTGGGGGGTGAACCAACGGAAGGAAGACCTTTCTCTCTGTCTCTCTCTCAGTGTCTAACTCTGCCTGTAAAAAAAAAAATAGCAGCAGAAGGCTCTGGAACACTGTTTCCCACGGCAGGAAAAGGTCGGGGGGAATGTAAGCTGTCAGCCTTTAAGAAATGTTGCCTCTCAGGGCCCTGGAGAGGCTTCGGGCCAGAGGTGTGCAGAGAGAGAGGAACGCCCTGTGGTGGATGCACTGATTCTGAGATGCGCGCTGAATCAGGCCGGAGGTGGCAGCTGGCGTGCTGCCCGCATCGGGACTGGCGCAGGGCGCTCACAGCCCTGTGCTCGAGGAGTGAGGCAAGGGCCGCATCCATGGCCCAGCAGGCCACGAGGACCACCAGGACCCTGCCGAGCACCTCCCAACAGTGCGGCAGCTGGGAGACGAGTTCAGACCAACCTGTACTAAGTTCAGATGGACTGTGGGATGGGTTCTAAAGGCCTAAGACACCAGGGTCCCCTATGAGACTTCTACAGGACAGGCCCCAGAGTGTGTAACGTCAGCTTGGAAGCTGTGACCTGTGGGTGGGTGGACAGGATGAGAAGAGGCAAGCACAGAGGGTTGGAACCCAGAGAGGGCTCGTAAAGGAGGGGGTGGGAGTTTGGCCTCAAGGGTATAGTGTAGGCTATGACGCCACGTCCCATATCCAAATGCCTGGTCTGAGACCTGGCTCCACGTCTGACCCAGCTGCCTGCTGATCACCGAGGGAGGCAGCAGTGATGGTCCAAGCAATGTGCCCCTGCCACCCACGTGGGAGACCCAGTGGAGTTCCTGGCTCCTGGCTTCAGGCTGAATAGTTATGGGCATTTGGGGGAGGGAATCAACAAGGAAGATTTCTCTCTCTCTCTCTTAAATAAAATGAAAGTAAACAAGCATTAGAAATGAAGAAAATGAGATGAGTTGCCATTCACTAGCCTAAGCAGAGGCCACACCGGGCCAGCACGTCCATGAGCCCCTGGTGTCCAGCGCCAGCCTGAGGCCACGCCTTCCCCTCCACTGATACCCTCTTCCGCGGTTCTTTGACGACTGTATCACCTCCCAAGCTCTGTTCCTCCAACACAGAATAAAAAGGAAACGTGTCCGGCTTCTCCCTGGTAAAATATAAATCTCGGAAAAATCAAATTCCAACTGGAGGAATCTGGTTTGGATCAAAGTCAGTAAATCATCAATCTGGATCTCTCTGCAAACCTGGAACCAGCCCAGCCCAGGCCATGATTTAAGACGGCGGAGGCCAGATATTTAGGGGATGCTAATCCCTCCTGATTGTTGATGTGTTTGTGCTGACAGGGAGACTAAGACCGACGGCAGAAGACAGACTGCTTTTGGGTATTTTTAGCCTGATTAAAATAAGGGATGATTTAAAACTATTCCAAACAGCTCTTCCCACAGAACTCTGCAAAGCTCCCACCCCCTTCTGGACTGCAATGGACACGGGGCACCGGTCCCACTCGGACTGGCCCCAAGCATCCAGAGGTTGCCCCTCATCCATCTATAAACAGCAGCACAGACCACAGATGGGGCTCGTCTCTGAGTGTCTCAGATGGGAATGCCAGCAGTTCTCACGAGCCCCTCGCAGACAGTAAGAATCAACTGCAGATGGCAACGTGTCCATCTCCATTTGCAGGGCACTCTCGGGTGACAGCAACCACAGGCGGGCTCAGCATCCCAGGCTGGGGCTCGTGTGCACTGGGAAGCTGTCGCCAGCCCTCTGAGCATGCCCTAGTATCTCTGGCTGGAGGGTGGGCCCGGATGGGCCAGCCAGGAGTCCCCGCCACTCCTCCGCTGGAGTCGTGAGAAGCCCAGAGAATGATGAGCAGTTTTAGTGCTGATAGGGCGGACATGCAAGTGGCCTCATGTTGTGCATGGGAACTTGGACAACACAAGCACCTCTGATGTCTGACTCACTTCCTGTCCTCAGAGAAGAGGCAGGGACTCCTGCCCAGAGCCCTCACTTTCCACAGCCAGGTTCTGAAGCGTGGTGAGAGACAAACCCAAGGACCTGACTTTGGGGCAGGCTGTGTCTCATGCCAGAGAATGGTACAACCTGCAAACATGCAAGCAAGCAAGCAAAAACAGGGCTCGGCCAAGACCTCACCTGTCTCCCTGCTTCAGGCTCTGCACGTGCTGTCCACAGACGGCGCCCAGGTAGACACAGGTGACCTGACAGTGAACGTGCGCGTTCAAATCTAATTTCACTGATGTATCTTGGAAGCCTTTGCCGATCCCTGCTTGCACACTTGGTAGAGCAAGTGACAAGGCTGGGCAGAAATTGACAGAGGCCAGCCCTGCCCCCCTGTGCCAGGTCTCCAACCTTGTCACCAAGTGTCTCCTTGCAGGAGGGACTCAGCAGTCACCCGGCATGTCTGGAGCCCCTAACCACAGCACTGCTCTGTGCACTTGGCTTAATGGTGACACAAATCAATCCCCAGTGCCAGTTACTCGGGTCTTCCCTGAGCATGTCCAGGCAAGCCACCCACACAGAATGTTCTCTTGCCTTTTTTTAGATTTATTTATTTGAGAGGTAGAATTACAGAGAGAGAGGGAGAGACAGAAAGGCCTTCTATCTGCTGGTTCACTCCTCAATGGCCACAATGGCCAGAGCTAGGCCGATCCGAAGCCAGGAGCCAAGAGCTTCCTCTAGGTCTTCCATGTAGGTACAGGGGCTCAAGCACTTGGGCCATCTTTCACTGCTTTCCCAGGCCACACCCATGTTGGAGAACCAGCTGGAGTTCCAGGCTCCTGGGTTTGGCCTGGCCCAGCCCTGGCCGTTGTAGCTTTTTGGAGAGTGAACCAGTAGATGGAAGCTCTCCCTCTGTGTATCTCTCCTTCTCTAACTCTGCCTTTTAAATAAAACAAATATTTTAAAAAAAAATTTGAAAAATGGGCAGGTTTGTGGCACAGCAGTTAAGTTGCTGCTTGAGACGCCTGCACCCCAGATCAGAGCTCCCATGTTTGAGTCCTGGCCCCCCGGTCCCGCTAATGCACACCCTAAGAGGCAGCGATGGCTCATGTAGTTTGGTCTCTGGACTGAATTCTTGTCTCCTGGCTTTGGCCTCACCCAGACCTGGCTGTTGCCGGCATTTGGGGAGCATACCAGCAAATGGGAGAGCTCTCACCCTCTCAAATAAAATGAGGAATGACTAAATAAATAAGCTTTTAAAAGAGTTGAAACATAGCTCATTATGGTTTGGATGGGCGTGGACAACCTCCTGGGACAGGGGTCTGACCCGTGGAAGAGGCCGGGCACCGGGAATGACCAGGCACCTGCCTGCCCAGCTGGCTGGAGCACTCAGCCTGCACCCTCAGGGATGAGACGCGGCGTTCAACCCCAGCTCCACTCCTGGCTCAGGGTGCCGCGGGCGGCGGACGGGACGGGTCCCCGAGAATCGGCCGTCGCTCTTGCTCCGTTACGGTTTCATTCACTCTGAGGGGACGCTGCAAAGCCCAGGGGCCGGGTTAGGTCAGATCTCGCAGGGAGGTCCCTCAGCTCTCATTGTGACTGCGAGGACTGGGGGAGATGTCCAAGTCCTCCTGACACAGAGGAGGTACATTTGTAAACATTCATTCATTCATTCATTCTGAGACAGCTCTCGCCCAAATAGTGCCCAGCAATAGCTGGGGCTGGGCCAGCCTGAAGCCAGGAGCCCAGAATTCAATTTGGACCCCACGTGTGGGCGGCAGGGAGCAAGCTACCTGAGCCATCACCGCTGCCCCCCAGGCTGTCCAGTAGCAGGAAGCTTGAACTCGGGGGCTCTGGGTGGGATATGGACGTCCTAGCTGGCGTCTTAACTGCTAGGCCACATGCCTGCCCCAGGAGACCATGTCTATACCCTTCAATGCCAGAGTTGTCCCAGGACAGAAGCAGGGTTCATAATCACACCCCAGCACTGTCGTGGGTTCTGAGTTGGGACGGGGGCGGCGCAGGCACTCCCACCCGCCACCCATGAGGTATTGATGCCCCACTGCACTTGCTTAGGGTCCCCCGGTCACAGAGTGGGGTGCATGTCTCCCCATCTCCATCTCAGGGCAGCCAGTGGGGACTGTGAACCGGTCAGTCTGCATCGCACAGTGGCTACTCAGAGCTGAACGGAGCCAGTGAGGGCCACAGATCCTGTCCAAGCTCTGGGCAGGATGAGGGGCAGCAGCAGCTGGGGGAGGGGCATGACCGTCAGGTCCTCGTGCGAGGAGCAGCAGCCAAGAAGATTCTCACTGTTCAGCAACCGAGATGTTAGGAGACCTTCGGAGAACAACTGAGGCGGTTACAGGATGGAGCCCAGTGAGGGTGGGCGGGACCACGAGCGGCGCTGGCCGGGCTGCCGTCTCCTGCCCGTCTCACGAACCAAGACCATCCCGGGCCTGAGTCTCTGTCCAGGACCCTGCTCCAGAACATTCTGCCCACCACCTCTTCCTGCCTCCTTCGTGCTGTGACCCAGGTCTCAGATGGAGGACTTTTTCCTGAAATAACCCATCTCTTTATGCTGACGCCACACAAGCTTCTTAACCTGACTTTGCATGCTTTTCTTTAAGCAAAGCACCACGGCCCCGAAGGACGGGGGCTCTGAGAGGCGCTCCTGGCCTACGAGGTAAGGGCCACTCCCTGTCGTCCATGGTGACTGCGCTCCAAGCAGAGGCGCCCAATCCACCGGACACGACCTTGCAAAACTGAGCCTCCGGCTGAATGTTTCACTGCATCCACAAAACACGTGGACCAAGACCGGTTTTCCCTTTCGTTCTTTTCTCCTTTAAGGTAAAAAAAAAAAGGGGGGTGGGGTGGGGGGGCTCTCTCTTTTTTTCTTAACCCCTGGCTCATTCGTTTATGTCTTTACATCTTAAACAAAAGGAATTAATGGCTTTTAAACCCTTTTGACAAGCTCCGTGATAAGTCGCAGCCCAGTGGGTTTGAAATGGACCAAACATAAATCCGTCCTCCAGAGAGTTTTAATTGGAAGCCACTCTGACCCAGACCTCCGGCCGTGCTACCACACAGCTCGCGATAACGAGGCCGACAAATTGTCCTGGTGGGACACAGACGTCTGTCACTCTGGCCCGCGGCCCCCACCTCACGGGGCACGAGCCAGGAGGCGCCTGTTCCCAGGTGAGGGAAGGAAGGACCCAGGGCCCACTCCGGGGCAGAAGCAGGTGTTTCAGGGTCGGGAGAGCGGGTCTAATGTGTGAGTACGCCCAGGCACCCACCTCTGAAATTCAAAGGGAGTGGTGGGGGCGGGGAAGAAGCACCCCAGCTCTGGGGCCTGCTGGGGACTCAGCTAGAGCCCCTCCTCCGGCCCCCTGAGGCTGCACGGCCTCGGCCCAGCCCTGCAAAGCAGAGAGCGGGCGCCTCTGGCATGGCGTGTGCTGAGCAGAATGCAATGCTGAGGCCCTTCCAGGGGAGGAAGTGTCAAGGCCAAAATTAAAATAGCACATTTGTTCCTTGCAGTTTGACTTCAGAATCCCCAAGCCTCCTTCCTCGAGAAGGCTTATTTTTCAACTAGAGATGCTGTGTGCCATATGGACCCTTCTCTCCCTGGGTTTGCACGCTGCGTGTGCCAAGAACGTCTTAGGGGACCCCGTGCCTCGTCTTCCGCGTGCGTCCCAACAGAGAGCAGGTACCTTCAGAACTCTGTGTTTCTGTCTCATGGGGGTAAACACGCAGACTGAAACACTAGTTGGCAACTAAGACGATCCTCTCGTAACTTTACACTGTGACAGTCAGTCATGGCAATCTCAATCACTATCACTTAATGTTCAAAAGGCACCAGGCTCCACTTAGAAGCAACTTAAAATTGGAATCCAGGCTTGACGTTAGCCTATCAGAGCCCAGGGCCTCCACAGATGGCACACAGCCGTCTGCACGGTGAGGCTAATTCCCGGGTGAAGTCAACATGGCGGTTCCCCAGAACTCCAAGCCGATGGACGAGGCCCAGCTGTGCTGTCAGCGTGTAGTCACGGCCACTGCACAGAGACGGCAGTGGAGAGAGCGCAGAGGCACAGACAGGAGGTGCGGTGGGGGGACAGAGTGGCCGAGGGCCCTGTCACTCTCTCTGCAGCCTCTGCATTGGCTGCTGGTGTGCTCCTGGGTCCCCAGAGGGAACAGAGCCACTGCTGGGGACTTGAAGTGAAGCCGTAAGGGTGGGCCTTTCACCTGGCCCTGAAGACACCACTGGGGCATCCAGCTTCCTGCTATTAGGTCCTGAGGGGCAGGGGTGATGGAGCAAGTAGCTGACTTCCAGCTCCTGCCTTGGCCTGGCCCAGCTCCGGCTGTTGCAAAAATAGGGGGAATGAACCAAGGATGGAATCAGTCAGTCAGTCAATCAATCTCTCTCCCCCCACCTTCAAATACACGTGTAAGTTAAAACATTTAACTTTAGAAAGTGAAGCTGAAGTGGTAGAAGTTGGATTTCAGAGGCTCACGCTCACGCTGCCACTGACGGCGCCTCTGCCGTGTCCAGCTCCCCCCACGCTGGCATCTCCCGGGCTCTCCACATTTCTCCCTGGCTCCAGGCTCAGTGGTCACTGCAGTTGGATCTGAAAGCGTCTCTGTGGCCAGTTCTCCGCACTTCCTAAGCCGTCTTCAGCTGACACCAGTCGCTCTTGCTGTCAGATTTCATCGGCTGCATCGCAGGAATCACACCCAGTGCTCAAAACGCGGTCGCGCGACAGAGAGCAGAGACGGTCCTGCGCGCCTCACAGGGTCTCCGTAACTGGTAACCAGCGTTCTGGGGTCTCCCTGCCTCCTGAGAAATAGTCCAGGCAACACCCCCATACACGTGAGAGGGTGCACACACACGCACACGTGGATGCAGGTAAGAGGCAGCTTCCGAGGCTCACGGAAACTTTGTGTTACTGAAAATCTGTGGTGGATTTGAATGTTTTTCCCACCACAATAAAGCCTGTCTTTTCATTCCATGTCCCGCACTTTTTCACCACCCTCACGTGTGTGTGTGTGCCAGCACCCACAACAGCCTCTCAGAACGACCCGACAGAGCACGGCGTCTTCCAGGGCAGCGCCGCGTTCCTGGTCCTTCAGCGGCGTGTGTCCCGCACAGCACTCCCTGGAGCTCCGCTGCTGCTGCGCCCGTCGTCTACACCCACTGCACCACCAGCTTCCAGCCATCTTTGCAAAGTCGCAGCTTCTGTTTCCAATTTTTTTGTTTTGTTTTGTAACTGCTGGCTTCATTCAGCTCAGGAAGGAAGGATGATCCAGTGGACAGGAATGTAGAGAGAATAAGTAAAGCCTCAAACGCGTGGCGCTGATGCACGGTGAGCCCTGAAGGACGGTGGCGGCCGCTGTGCCTGCCTGAGTGCGGCCTGCAGATCCCCTGGGGAAGCCTCGCCAGGCGGCGTGGCTGCAGGGCTCAGACTGGGCCTGCGCCGAGCTCTGAGCTTTGGCATTTAGCCAGATGCGTGAACGTGGAAGTGTTTCTTGAGCCTGGATTCTCTGTTCAACTCCAGCCAGGTTCTGACCATGACCTCACGGTTTCTGCAGGCAGTGTTACAAATGAGCAGCCACGCACACGGAACATCTGTGTGTGACATCACAGTGCACGCAGGGTCTACACGTGACGTCACACCGTGTAGAACCCATGCATGACGTAACGGCGTGTGTCAATATGCTTATCGCCAGGGCTTACCTCACATTCTCGATCACCCTTCTATTGCCCAACACCCTGGATTTCTCTCTCTGGTCTTTTCTTGTGGGGCTCATTTCCCAGGCGTTGGATCATCCTCACTGCTCTCTCTGAATCGTGCCCAAGTCCTCCATAATTCATCTCAGTTCATCTCGAAGCAAGACACAGCCCCTTGACCAGGGCCAGTCTGCAACCGAGTTAGGAGAGGGACCAGCTTGCTCTTGTGCGTGGAACACCCACCCGCCCTCTGATCCCCGCATGCCCTGTGGAAGAGTCCATGCTGAGATCTGAGTGGAGAAACGGAGGCACAGAGCAGGTAAGCTCCTCACCACAGCGTGCACCCACCCGCCAGCAGTTCAGCTTCCCTGTTTCCAGTGCAGTTTTCATCCAACCCCCTCCTCGGTTGGTACTCATCGTCCCAAGCAAATGACAGCAACACGCTGTTCCTCCGTTAGGAGGAACGGAGCGAGTCAGACGCTGTGCTTTGCTTTCTAAGTGCATAGGTAGTGTGGAGCTTCCTACACAGCCAGGACTCTGCAGTGGGCAGCGGCTGAGGGCCCTACATGCAGTGGTCAGAAGCACACGGATGCAAAGGGCCAGGACAAACAGCGAGGGAATTTGCAAGCAAGGCATCTCAGTTCACGTTTCTGCTGAGGGCTGTTTTCTGGTTGATTTGGGAGATTCAAGCCAATGTTATCAAAATGACTTAGATTACAAGGAAATTAATCTCTGGGCCATTTTATATACAGGGTCACTCTGGTCAAACCAAGAAGGATGCAACGTGGATTGAGTAGGGGTCCTGGAGGCATCCCTGTGAGAATCCCCACAGGGACCACCACACCAGGGCTCTGCCTGATAGGGTCCCTGCAGGGACCCAGGCTCTGTGTGCCAGGGTCCCCGACTTCAGGTGTGCTGCCTGTACTGGTGAAAGTGTGCCTGGCAAGTTCTGTGTTTATGGCAGAGTTCATTTTGCACATTTTTATTTATTTTCATTTTACTTGAGAGAGAAAGAGAGAGAGTGCGCGCGTGCGCTCCCATCTATTGCCTCCCTGCCCCAATGCCTGCAATAGCTAGGACTGGGCCAAGCTGAAGCCAGGAGTCTGGAAGTCCACCCGGACCAGGAATCCAAGTACCTGGGCCACCCTCTGCTTCCCAGGGTGCACTTCAGCAGGAAGCTGGAACCGTAAGTGGAGGAACCAGGCGCCCTGCTATGGGATGTGGACACCCCTAGTGGTGACTGAACTGTGGCACCAAACGCCTGTCCCTGGAATCCACGTTTGGCGGAGGAAGATGACGGGGAAAGGAACCCATCTTACCTGTGTCCCGGACATCAGCAGGAGCTGTGGCCTCATGCTGGTCCCGCAGACAGCCAAAGTGATTTCTTGAAACTTCCAGAACACCTCCCCGCTGACTAGCTGCTGCCGAGCCTCCGGCAACGGGTCTCAGCCATGCTGGTTTCCATCATCTGGCCATGGTCCCTGCCCAGGCCGAGCTCTGCCTCGGGAAGGCCGGCTCCTGCGCCCTCAGAGGGCATCAGGCTGGGGATGTGTCCCACGTGGGGGAGCAGGCCTCGCTCCACCTGTCAAAGACAGAACCTGCAGGTGAGACCCTTCCCGTGGCACCCAACTGTCCCTCGGGAGCTAAGGCAACAGGGCCCCTGAGACACAGCCCTCAGAGAGGCCCAGCGCACGCTCAGGTTAACAAGAGCTGTGGGCTCAGCCCAGCCCCTCAGAGCCCTTGGCCCTCGTGCCGAGTCCCGGCCACAGCGGTGACATCACAGGGCATGGAAACTTGAGCCACACCAAATACGTGGCCTCCACGTGGTGGGCCTCTCCCCAGCATGGCTCCTGGGTTGATGCTTGTGTCTCGCCCTCCCTGGCCGTCCACACGGGGCGGCTGACGGTGGCAATAAACGTGGCCATTCCCAGGGATGGGGCTGTGACAGGCGCAATAAGGAGAGGACTGATTTGTTGCTTTGGGGTTGAAAGCTCAGACTTTCATGAAACAAAAATATTATATTCAGGGTAGCAATTTACAGCCCTGACTCCTGTTTGATTGCAAACTATAAATACTGGCAAACGGCGCTTGTGGCGTCTCGGAGACGTCGGGGACACGTGCTGGTTTATCGCGCGCAGCCGTTACCCACTCAGTGGAAGCGTGGGCATGTTTAGAAGACATCAGTTCCGCTGAATACGTCTTTGTGGACCTTGATGCCCTGCAACGTCCTGCACACCAGCCCTTCCCACGACTCGCACGTGCTCAGAGAAACCCGAGGACAGAGCCACCAGGGAGCGGAGGCGACGCTGCAACGCTCTCCCGGGACCCTCTTTTTATCCCGTCAGAAGCTTCTCGGCCTTGAGTGCACGACCTGCGGCCAGCACTGGGCCTTCCACTTTAGCAGCCACGGAGCCACCGCGTCTTTGGCCAGCACTGGGCCTTCCACTTTAGCAGCCATGGAGCCACCGCGTCTTCGGCCAGCACTGGGCCTTCCACTTTAGCAGCCACGGAGCCACCGCGTCTTCGGCCAGCACTGGGCCTTCCACTTTAGCAGCCACGGAGCCACCGTGTCTTTGGCTTGCTGGCTGGGACCGCTGCGCTCCGGCCTCCTGCATGTCCTGGGCTTCACACCCCTCCGGCTGCAAAGCAGGAACACACTGTCTTTGGGGGGTTAGCCTGAACCTCACTATACCTATGGGCCCTCGGAAACAGGCAAACACGTCTGACCCGGGGTGGGACGAGCGGCTGTCGGTTCTCAGGGCCCCGTTGAGTAAGCGACTTAAAGCTGTGAAATGTTTTCTGCGACACAGATCTGATCCTGACATGGACAAGAGCAACGCCTTTTTAAAAAGCCGCTGCTGAGCTGTCCGAGTTGGAGCCCAAAGTCGCCCACGAAGGGGAGTCTCGGGGAGACAGGGTGTGGCTGGGGGCTGCGGCGGAGCCAGTTCCCCGCCCTGCCCTCTGGGAGAGACTTCCCGGAAGACAGAAACAATTAACTCTTTGTCCTGGCAGTGACCATGCTAGGTGTTCTTCTAATGGGCACGCTCCTTGCTAAATTATGGATGAGCTCGATCGTAAGACAAATGCCATTATCCCAGTTATTTATTCATGGGATGTTGTCTGTAGCAGACCCGCACCGCTCTTCCTCCGGCTTCGGCATTGATCAATCGCTTTCCTGGGTCGTGGCCGGGGAGGCGGGAACACTCTGCAGTCTCCAGGAGGGAGACCTGTGGCCACGTTCAACCCCCTTGGTAACAAGCTCTGGGTAGATGCGGACGGACGGCTCCTGCCATTGAGACGGAGGGTGTAGACGCTCTCCGGGCTCACAGGCACGCGCCCGCCCCTCCAAGGCCGCCACAGCTGTGTCCCCGCCCCCTCCCCGCCGCCACTGGGTTCGGAGGCAGCGGGCAGCGCTGCGACGCGAAGCTCCCTGGGCCCCGCTAATGACACCCACACATCTTCTCCAACTCTGCTTTCGAAGCAAAAGCGCAGGGCTCTGCTGGCTCCCCGGAAACACAGGGCCGAGGCCGGGTGCATAATCAGCGTTCTGTCTGCAGGCAATTAAAGATGATGTAGCCGGGCTTTGCTTTTATTTATACTGTGTAATGAGGCTCCAAATTAAAAAGCGATGCCCTAATCTCCGCTAATGTACGTTGCCGCACTCGAGCGAGAGCAGCAGTCCATATTGGGTGACAAATTCATCATGTTTACGCCTCCTCTCCGTGCCCAGACCCAGCCCTTCGCGGGCACAAGTGCTGATGCAAACAGCAGGCGGCCTGCTCCCCTCCCGTCCCGCACCGCCGTGCACATGGGTGTCAGGGCTCGGCTGGGTGGGGCTCCAAGGGCCAAGGCTGAAGGAAGGGGCTGTGGCGTCCTGAGGAGTGTGGCGGTGGCCGTGAAGTGCCCAGCAAGGGCGCCCTGTCGCAGCTGGGAGACGGAGTACGTTAAAGTGGAGACAGTGGGGGACACAGACCTGAGTGGAACTGGAGAGGGGGGCGGAGGCGAGGCCAGGCGATCGTGAGCCTGTGGGGGGGGTTCTATAGCCATTCCTGAACAGCGTCCCTTGACAAAGCTCCCGCGCGCCTGCTTTTGTCTGAGAAGAGACTTTGGCCAAGGCCGGAGGCCAGGGGTCTGCCCTGACCTGACACGTGGGCCAGAGGCCTGTGTGGGAGCCGGGCGAGGCTGAGGGAAGGTGAGGGGTTCAGGACAGGCCGGATGCAGACACGCCCGCAACTGTCCCCGAAGACGTCCACGAATCTACAACCATGGCAAAAATGTTCACAGAGGGGTCTTTGCTGACGTGATCAAGCTGAGCATCAGGGTGTGGGCGGTCCCGTCATCCACGTGGGCCTTGAATACATCCCACGCCTCCTTACCAGTGGGAGTCAGCGCCCACGGAACACCAGACGCACAGGGGAGGCGGCCACAGAGCAAGGGTGCAGGGGTGGCCCCGAGTCAGGCAACGCTGGCACCTCTGGGGCCCGGAATTGGCAAGGACCTGGCTCTCCCCAGAGCCTCAGCAGGGAGCTGGGCCTGGCCACCACCTCACTGTCTCCCAGTGTGCTGGCTTCCGGCCTCAGACCTCAGGTTGTTTCTTTACCCCATCAGCCCTGGCCACAGACCCCACCCTACTGCGCTTCCAGGTCCTCCCTCAAAGACTCCCGTGGGCCTTATCTCCAACCTCAGACAGCCCACAGGTAAGTTGTTAGAGAGAGCGAGCGAGAGAGTGTATGAGAGCGAGTGCACTCCCACTCACCAGTTCACTCCCCAGACGCCCGCAACAGCCTCAGATGGTGGCTCCATTAGTTGGTCCTGGAGCTTCCTCCAGGTCTCCCATGTGGGTGGCAGGGACCCAGGCCCTCGAGCCATCCCCGCTGCCTCCCAGGTGCCGCTGTAGCAGGGAAGCTGGAGCCAGGATCTGAAGCCAGGCACTCTGACATGGGATGCGCCCGTGCTAACCCACGTCAGTGCCACTAGGCCAACCCAGCACAGCCTCTGCTGCAAACCTGGGAGACCTGACTCCCACAGAATGAACGCTGGCTGGGCTGGGGCACCCAGCGTCTGTTACCTATGACAAGTATTTCTCTGCCTTCCCACTCCATGTCTGCCTTTCGAAGCTCCAAGAGCTGCAGAGCCTGTAACAGTCTCAGCTCCGGGCCCAGCAGGAGGCTGCATCTCCCATCCTCCTTGGCGGGGCGGGGGTCGCTGACCTACAGAGAGCCAAGCAGTGATCTCTTTATGAGGCTGGAAAAATCCCTTCCTCCCGGGAACACTTCCCCCGAAGGTGTTTTGTTTCACAAGCAATTTAGCGGTCACCCAGAGACCCAGGACACAGAGAGATTTTATCTATTTGTTTATTTCTTAAGGCTATGGGGGAAGAAAATCAATGAGTAACAGGTCTGTTGCTTTCGTGTGTTCTGAAACCTCACACGTTGGAAACCTGATCCCGGAGGTCATTTGTCAGTGGTGTTTGGAGGTGACTGGGGTTAGGTGGGGTCACGAGAATGGGTCCTTCCTGGTGGCACTAAGGGGCTTCATAAGAAGAGAAGGAGGGGCCAGCACTGTGGTGTAGTGGGTAAAGCCGCTGCCTGCAGTGCCAGCATCCCATATGGGCACTGGTTCAAGTCCACCTGAACTGCCCCTCTTCCAGGCCAGCTCTCTGCTGTGGCCTGGGAGTGCAGTGGAGGATGGCCCAAGTGCTTGGGCCCTACACCCGCGTGGGAGACCTGGAGGAGGCTCCTGGCTCCTGGCTTCGGATCAGCACAGCTCTGAGCATTGTGGCCAACGGGGGCGGGGAGGAACCATCAGATAGAAGACACCTTTCTCTCTCTCTCACTCTCTGCCTCTCCTTCTCTGTGTAACTCTTTCAAATAAACAAATAAATCTTAAAAAAAAAAAAAAAGAGAAGAGCGGGGCGACATTCAGCATAGCAGTACATTTGCTGCTTGAGGCCCGCCCTCTCCCATCAGAGAGCCTGGTTCAAGTCCTCACTCCAGCTCCTGCTGATGCACACCCTGGAGCAGGGGTGGCTCAAGTACTTGGGACCCTGCTCCCCACATGGGAGACCTGGTCCAGCCCCACTGGGTGGGCACTGGGGAATGAGCTGGCCGACAGTTCTCCGATAGATCAATGAATCACACTTTTTTTAAAAGGAAGAAACTTGCTAAGAAATGCCCTGCCACTTGGTGGTGTGAAATGTGAACCCAGGCTGTCAGTCGAGAGGGCATGTGCTCTCTGTATGTGCGACACACACACAGGTCAAAGAGCTCAAGAAGTGAGGCCATAGGATAGTCCATGCATACCAAGGTCCTCACGGAAACACGCGTGATGAAAAGGCCGTGCACGGGTCTCCACATCCTCACACTAAAATAACCGCGTGTTTTAATTCCGTTTCTCTAGATGTTGAGGGCGTGCCCTGTGCGAGAAGGATGTGCGCCATCCTCACCGCGGGTCTAAGTCTCCTCTACGCACTGGTGGCTCTTCTCCGTAAGTCAGCACCGCGGCCCCTCGAGCCCTTTCCTGCTGGGCCGCTCCCCAGCCAGGACCTGCCACCCGCCCACCATGGCGGCGCCCACGAGGCCCGGCCCCTGCGCAGGCAATGGCTGCTCTAAGGCAGGGTCGCCCCCAAGCACAGCCTCTGCACCGCGGCTGCCGGACAGGGTTGGGGCCAATGCTCTGGAGATGTTTCCCCTGGGGTGTGTGCGCCCCGACTGCTCAGGGGTCTGCCTCTGCCTCCCCACCAGGCCAGGAGCCCCAGAAATCTCAGCTTCCCATAGGGAGACCGACCCCTCCTCCCGCTCTGGCCTCTCTTTCCCCTCCCCGCCCCGCCTCTTCCCCTCTTCTGCTCTCTTAGGCATGGACTTGGAATTCCAACACCTCTGCTTCCTTTACATGGTGGCCGCTGGTGCCCTGGCGCCTCTCACTCTCACAGAGACACACACGACGCCCCTTTCCCGTGATGCTCCCTGATATCTCTCTCCTCCAGCTCAGACCCTCTAGGCTCTGTGCCTGGCAACTCGGACGCTGTTATAGAAGTGCATGTCACAGCCGACATCTGTGCAGTGATGGACAACACAACAAATCAATGCTTGGACTAGTTTTTCCCTACTTGCTGGTTCAACCTACAGTGCTTTTTAATACATCTTGTCCTTGCGGACAAGGACAACAGCAGGGACTTAGGACGTGGGGGATACGTGGCCGCTGCAGCCAGCAGCAGCGAGGGTGTCTGGGACGGCAGAGGAGAGGCCCAGCAGCCAGTGCCGAGTGCTAGGGACACACAGGTCCTGCAGAGCCCGTGTTGGTGTAGACTATCACCCCATAGAAGAGAGAATGGAGACCCCGGAGGTTACAGCCAACATCACTGTTAGAGTCACAGCCTCTCTGAGCTGGGAACGCCCTCCAGGGCCACCTGGCCAACCACCTGCCTGCATCAGCCACGGACACTCCCCGGCAGGCGGTGCTCCCACCACGCCAGATCCTCCCACTTCTGGCCCTTTGACAAAGTCTCCTTACAATAAGCTCACACTTTGCTTCCACGCCCCAGGAGCCAAGCATGAGCAGCCTTCAGAAAGGTCATGGAAAATGCATAGCAGGAAGAACCACGCACGGCCCTCAATGTCGTCCTGCACCAAAACGAACAAATCTATTAATTCCACTTGCTGGGGCCTTTTTGAAGCGTCCTCGTAGGGCAGAGCCCGGCCTCCCCCACATCTCTGAACTCACCTGGCGCCGCCTGCCGGGTCATGGCCAAGCCAGCATCCTCAGATGCTCCCCAGACCACCTGGTCTCTTCCTGCTCCAAAAACCCCCACTGTTTGTTTCACTCCCTTTAGAAATGCGGGCACAGGACCAAACATGAGCTCCAACAACGCCTGAATTCACTCGCCAAGCTTTTCAACCTTCTCTTCCTTGCGCAAGATCACGGTCACTCGCTCAGGGCAGGGATGGGCTGAGAGACCAGGAAAGGGAGGGGGACACCGCCGTCTGTGGGCTGCTCCCCTCTGTCTCCCAGGAGGAACCTCCCGCCCTGCGAACGCTGCTGGGGAGCTGGCGCCGAGCTCCGCCCTGGAGCCTGCCGTCGCCGTATCTATATATACCAGGGCGCTTTATTTCGTGGGAAAATGGAATTCCAAGAGGCTCGTTTTTGGCACAACAATTTTTGAAATCCATGCATCTTATTTTCCATAATACAACTTTTCCATGAACATTCTGAAGACCTCACATTTGCATGGATTGCAATATTTTTTGCACCAAAATAAACCTATCTTTTAATTTCCTTGACCACAGACTTACGAAGTCCCCTCACCTGCTCCCAGCAGGACTTACACAGTTGAAACCAACGTCGGCTGACGACAGGAACGCACTGGGTAGGGTTCGGATCGCTCACTCTACACCAGTCACGTCCGAGACGGCTGCTCGAGGCTGCTCAAGTATCTATTCACCAGAAGTCAAGATCAAGCACAGCAAGTGGACTGAGACTGAGACTACTGTAGGAACCCGCGCAGGCCTTCTCGTGTCGGCAAGTGAGACAAGGAGAAACAGTTGCCACAGGCGGCCCCGACCACTCTGCAGGGAGCTTGCAGGGCAGAGCTGGAGAGCTGGGCAGCGCTGGGGTTCACCACGCTGGCACGGAGGCCAGCTCCCAGGAGTGGGCGGCTTTGTTGCTGCATGGAAGTGGCTGTGTCTCCTTGAGTCCATCCTGACCAAGCCTGGTGTGTCCCGAGTGGCTGGGGGGTGGTCACGGCGTGGATCGCTGGCTGGGAAAGAGCCTCCCACCGAGGGGGACCTCACACAGCTCAGAGACGGCCGTGTCTGCCTGCTCTCTCCAGGCTGCTAAGAGGCCACGGCTGCACTGAGCTGGCCTCTGCTTGGACACACCCTGCGACCTCAGCTGCAGATAGCCCAGCAGGTGACCCGCACCTGCTCCTGAGGGAGCTGCTGAGCGCTAATCCAGTCATGGGCAGTGGGGCAGTGGGAGAGACTCAGTAAGCACAGTGAGTGGGCAAGCTACATGGGGCCTTGGGGGTGGAGGGAGGGCAGAAAACAGGCCTCCTCACTCAGGGCTCCCGCACCCGCACTGTGCTCCTCTGTGAGACGAGGGGGCAGGGCCAGACGGGCTGTGAGGTCCACCACCACCCATGAGCCGAGTGACAAGAGGGCCTTCAGGGAGCAGCGGGCTCCAGAGAGCAGAGGCGATGGGGACGGCGACTCCGCCTCTTCCTGGCACCTGCTGCTCCTTCTCTGGGAGGCCCCTGGAGGAACTGCCTTATCGTCGGGCAGATCAGCATAGGGACGAGCCAGGGCAGCTGGCCTGCTGCACCCCACGGAAGTTGGTCCTCCAGGGATGGCCAGTGGCCCTGGGCCTTCATGCCCCCTTGTCTGCAGGGAGTGTGCCCTGGGGCCCCAGGGGTGCCTGAAATCAAGGCCAGCACTGAACCTGTCTTCTCTTCCTTCTCACCGCGGGTCGGATCAACCCAGGAACGTTCAGCTTTGCACCCAGAGGAAGCACTTCCGGCTCCAGCTGCACCCAGACTGTCAGCATTGTGGCTGTTGCCACGGCACTGCAATGGGAGACCCGGTGGTGGCTCAGGGACTGGGGGGTGGGCAGCAGTGCAGATGGGGCACGTGCCCTGGAGAACAGACCACCCACGGCCCAGGTAGGCGCAGGGGTGGGAGTGGGACAGTGCACAACGTAAAATGGATAACTCCTTTGTTTCTGGGATGTTTCCATTAAATATTTCAGGCTGCAGTTGACCCTGGCTAACTGGAGCTGCAGGACGTGAATTGGGAGGTGGGGGTGGGGACGGCTGTGTTCCACCTTCATGGGTTCTGTGACTCCACTGCGACCGAAGCTGACCAGAAGCCAGCGTGCAGCCCAGCTGAGGTTTGCCGGGGCCTAGGCCCGAGCAAAAGGAAGGCAGCGCCACCGGAAGAGGCTCTGCCCCCTCCTCCCCACCAGGAGGGGGCACGTGCTCTGAGGGGGCGGTGCCCGGGCAGCACTCGCACTTGGGGCAGTTCAGGTGCGAGACAGCAGGGGCCTGCCTCCCTGTCCCTGTCCCGTCTCATCCCCAGCAGCCGACTGAAGGAGAGGCAGTCACAACACACGCCCAGCGAGAGGGGCTGAGGTGGGGAGCCAAGGGTGCTCTCAGACACGGAAGGGGGTGTGGCACTGAGTGTCTCGGGAAAACCAGACAGAGCATAACACCAGCCGACGACAAACCTGAGCGACTCAGCCTCGGCTCTCAGCCGGCGTGTGGCGGCGGAGGTGGGCGGGTGACTGCAGGGCGAGTGACAAAGTTCCGCTCTGAATCGGGAAGACCCTCAGGGTCTCGCTCCAGACGCACCCCAGTCGTAGGTGGGGCTGGAGGGAGCAGGCGCGTTTGCAGGGACCTGAGACCAGCACCCAGCACCGGAGGAATGCTGATGCCTCTAGTCATTTCTACTGCCCTGGCCATGGCCATTTTTTTTTCTTTTTGAAACGTCTGTGTTCTGTAGAGAGCCCAGGGCTGCGGGCCCCTTGAGGCTCCAGCTTCCCCAGGGCAGGGACGGAGCCCTCAGCTCCTGGCCAGGGTCTGTTGTGAAATACGAAGGCCAATGAATCAGAACGAAGGACCGACCCGTACTTTATCTGCTGAATGTTGCAGGCGCTGGGGAAGCGAGACGCCGGGCAGCCCAGCCACACGGGGTGAGGGCGCCGTCCCGGGCTTGCGCCTGCGTCTCCGTCAGCAGCTTTGGAGGCTGCAGCCCAGAGGCTGAGGTGAGGGCGTGGCTCCACGTGCATGGGGAGAACCCCGCAGGGAGCCCCGTGAAAACACCCAGTGGGGCTTTTTCCCTCAGCCTCTTTTCCTGAGGGAGCAGACCTGCACTCCGGTTGGGTTGTGGACAGGGCCATGCTGTACCAATGACTCATCGCCACTCGGGCCGCGCCAGCTGCCTCCCCGACCACAGCCCCGTCTTAGCTGAAATGCCTTTTCTCTCTGTTTTAAGATCCGGGTACATGGGGGGAGCTCTGGGGTAAGTTTTTCCCATGAAAACCGATGCCCTGTCCTCCTGCCAGCCTCTCCCTTCCCACCCACAGAGTCGGTCAGTCTTCCCACGCTTGGGCACCACAAGCATGCACAGCCACTGGTGGGGGCCCCACGGCCACCCAGTGCCGACCCGGCTCTCAGCTGGGAATGGCCAGGCCAGCGGAGAGGGTGACCACGGCCGGCTTTGATTCCAGGCGCAATGCAGATCGCGCATTCCCTAGATGTGAGGTCAAAACAGCCAGAGCCCAACCAAGCGGAGGAAGAGCAGAGGCGTCTCAAGTTCCTTCAAACTTGTTCTTGGGCAGAGATCCTGGTAGGAGTATTATCATCAGTGTGGTTCAGTGTATCAGAAAGAGAGAGAGAGAGAGAGAGAGAGAGAGAGAGAGAGAGAGAGAGAGAGGCTTCCATCTGCTGGTTCATTCCCCGCATGCCCACAAACAGCCAGGGCTGCTCCAGGCTGAAGCTGGGAGCCACGAGCTCCATCCATTTTCCCACGTGGGAGGCAGGGTCCCAAGTGCCTCCCAGAGTGCACACTAGCAGGAAGCTGGATCAGAAGCAGACGAGGCAGACTCGAACCAGGCTCTCAGGTGGGACGTGGGGGTCCAAGCAGTGACCTAACCACTGTGGTGAGTGTTCACCCCCTCTTAGTTTCTGATGGACAAGCCTTGGAATGCTACCTTCACCAGGTTGTAAATGTTGGCAACACCAATATTTGGACAAGCTGACATCAAGAGACTCCTTGAGTGCTTCACTGGGCAGGGACACGGATGACTTCCAGGTGTTCCTGCCAGAAAGCATGTCCCGAACCCAAGCACAGGGAAATAGCAGAAACCCGCACGGCAGGGCCCTCTACAAAATAACAGCCCTGTGTTTTCCCAAAGGTCAAGGTCAAGAAAGACAAAACGGGAGACTAAAGAGATGTCTCAACTAAGTGAAGTACACGAATTTTCTATTTGAAAGGCAGTTACAGAGAGGTCTTCCATTTGTTGGTTCATGCCCTGAATGGCCACAACCCAGCCCAAAGCCAGGAGCTTCCTCTGGGTCTCCCATGTGGGTTCAGGGGACCCAGCACCTGGGCCATCCTCCACTGCTTTCCCAGGTGCATTAGTGGGGAGCTGGATCGGAAATGGCACCCACACCGGGTGTGGGCTGCAGGCAGCAGCTTAACCCACCATGCCACAGTACCAGGCCTCGAAATACATGATCTTGAAGTTGATCCCGAGGCTCTAGAAGGCGTCGTATGAATGACGACATCCGGGTACAGACTGCGGATTGGATACTGACACTCGGGCAAGTCTGATCTCTACGCCGCGGCTGTGTAGGAGTGTTCTCTGTTCCCAGGAAGCACAGTGATGTTGCCAAGTCCCTGCTCAATGGACTTGGCGCCGTCAACCCTGCAGGGAAGGTAGGCTCCATCTCTGTCTACCGTGGATTGGCCAAATGTGAAACGTCGGCGATCTCCCTCAGGGGTGTGAGGCTATCCCCTCAAGCAGGCTTGCGACTTTTCTGGAAGTTTGGAAATGCCACACAGGCATCCCAGCCGTAAATCCAACGGGACCAGGACACAGTTACCGGCTTGATCCTCAAAAGGAAAACTTCGCAATCTGCCAGCCGCTGTGGGGGGAGAGGGGGCCCCTCCTGCCCTGTGATCCCTGGGGGACAGAGCGGGTCTGTGTCTGGATTCCCAGCGCCATGGGACTGACAGCAAGGTCACCACCCTATTCCTGGGCTGAGCTCACTGCCGCCCGAGACCTGCAGCCGGCCTCACGGCCCAGAGCGGTACAGGGAGCGTAGAGGGAGCGCCTCCCCTTTCTCTCCACGGCATGCTCCCAGCCTGCAGGAGGTGTAATCTACCACAGAGCAGTCCATGAAAGACAGAAGTAGTGGCAGAGCAAGTGTTGCTGGCTGGGGGTGCGGAGGCCGTGACTGACTGCTTGTGGGAGGGGCGGGATTGGATACATGCACTCCTCACAGACCTGTGCACGAGAGGGGTGCTGCTGTGATGAGGTCGTTAAGCTGCCCCGTGCGACACTCCAGCATCCCACGTTTCAGTGCCGGTTCAAGTCCCGCTGCTCAGCCTCTGATCCAGCGCTCTGTTATGCACCCGGATGCTGGGGTCCCTACCATCGAGTGGAAAGCCTGGATGGAGTGCCGGAGCCGGCTTCAGCGTGACCTCGGCCTGGCCATCGTGGCCATGTGGGGACTGGGCCAGCGGGTGGAAGAGATCTTTCTCTCCTTTCCTCTGTCCACCTCACCCCCTTCAGTCTGCCATAAGAAGGAAAAAAAGCCAACTAAAATGTGCTTCAGAGAAAGGTCACCGCCTAAAAGACAGCAGGTTCCCAGGAACAGTGACAGGGGCAGCGCTGTGACCTGGGCGCCACGCCTGTGCCGTGGGTAGTGTGGGTTCTACACGGCGTGGCTCCCCAGTCCCGGCTCGGTGCGGGGTCCCTGACAGCTCCGGTCTGTTCCTGCCGGAGACCAGTCGTCTCAAGGGAAGTGGTCGTGAGGGGTGCATGTTACCTGTGGGAGCTGGCAGCCGGATCCACGAGTGTGCTCTCAAGGTGGACGCGACCTGGTGACGTCCCCACGGCCCAGGCTGGTCTTCCTCAGGGGTCAGAGGCCACCTCACAGTCATCTCCCAGGTGACTGGAGGAGCAGGCGCAGCTTCCACACTCGAACTTTCGACCTGACCTGTCCAGGTTCATTCACGCCCTTCGCCAAGGAGCGTGCTCAGCGAGATCCCGCGGCAGCGCCTCCCTCGTCCCTTCCTTCTCTCGGCCTGCCAGGAACACCTTCCTGTGCCGGGTGTCACACGTGTGCCGGTGCGTGAAGATTCATGATGCATGTGGGCTGCCTCCTCGGAGCTGGTGCTGGCAGAGAGGACGTGACGGCCGCGACAGGTGTGCCAGCCCCGTGGCCACAGCTTTCCCTGCCGCAATTCAACAAAATGAGCTTAGGAGCGATCCACGACTGTTGTGAATGGCTTAGCAAACATCTCTACCCCGACTTGGATTACACAGAGAAAAAAAAATCATACAACCCTAGGATGGGACCCCAAACTGATCAGCCCAGTAAGGAGTATCCGCCCCCGAGAGTCCTGCCCCCAGCCCAGAGCTAACCACGCACTGTAGAACCAAAAGTGTGTTTATTAATTCATTTTTATTTATTTGAAAGGCAGAGCAACAGAGATAGAGATAGCAAGAAATGAGAGAGATTGATCTCCCATCTGCTGGTTAACTCCCCCCAGAATGAACAAAATAGCCAAGGCTGGGCCAGGCCAAAGCCAGGAGCTGTGAACTCCATCCAGGTCTCCCATGGGGGTGGCAGGGGCCCAAGTATTTGGCCCATCATTTGCTGCTTTTCTCAGGCCATTAGCCAGGAGCTGGGTCAGAAGTGGAGCAGCCAGGACACAAATCAACATGTGGGATGAGCCATCCCGCACTGCCTCCCATGGACTTCAGCAGGAAGCTGGAGCAGAAGTCGGGCGGGACTTGATCCTAAGTGGTGGCCTAACCCATTGCACCACAGCACCTGCCTCTGATCACTTTTACACCCAACTCACGGCTCCATGGACAGGATCCTGTGTTAACTGTAAAATAACTCATTCTGCTCTCACCAGGCTGCACCCACCTGAGGCTGGGACTGAGTGCCAGCCACGCTTTTATCAGCCCCACCCATCCCTGGGCAGGTGGTTTGCCTTGCAAATCAGGCGGGTAATTACTGTGGTTTGCGTTCAGGAGAGGCTGTGCTGGAGGGGACAGAGAAAGGGGAGTGCTTACCCTGTTTGCGATTTGAGTTTCTTCATGGCCCTCTTAAGGAATGCAGGTTTTTAATAAGCACAAAAGAACACTTTGCAATGGATAAAACGAGGCTCTTCTTCAGCCTGTTGCTCCTTAGCCATGTTATCTTTATGCGGTCATTATCATCTCCAGGCTGGGAACTCCCAACTATGCTAGAACTCACTGATTTTAGTACCCATTGATTCCAGGATCCTTGCGGCCAGTAGTTCTCAGGACAAAAGCCTCTCTCCTTGAGGTTCTCTGTGTCATCTTTGCAGTTTTTCCCACCGCTTTCTCTTGACACTGGAAGGACTCCGGGAAAACTGCAGCCCAGCAGAAGACGTCCCATAAACACCCCGTCATCTGCGTTTCCTATCAGGGCCCCTGACAAACCACGTGTTTTCAAAGGTAATTGGGAGTACAGAGACAATTTAAGGGTCATTATTGTGTTAGCCAAGAAAATAGCTAATGATGACTTCAGCTACTGGGCTGTTCAGCCGATGTTAGGACCTATTAGCTCAATTAAGTAAATCAAATAGGAAAAGACATTTAGACTTGAAAAGCCACCACCCCCCACGACTTGCCTGGCAGGCCATTTCGTGGTGAATCCTACGGGCTTGTGTACTCTGTTGAATGAGCTGATTTGGCCAACGTACTGCCTCAGGACCACTTGGCATTTATAAGCAAAGATCACGTTAAATCCCAAGGCCAAGAATGCAGGTAGGAGGGTCAGTTCAGCGGGCAGAGGCAGGCATGGGAAACAGCTGTGCATTTTCCTCCCTGAAGGGATTTTCTCCCACCCTGCAGTGGTCTTTAGGTCTCTGCATGTAGGTTGATGCTCCAAACCCTGCCAGCCCCAAGTGTCTACAGCACCTGGATCTGGACCGCGCCCCCGAGAGGACGGAGGCTCCTGTGGTCTGGGATCCTTCTGCTGGGCAGCGCAGAGGTTTGAAGTGAGTCGGAGAGAAAACAGCCCTGCTCGCGTCATTAACAGTTGCTCTCTGGTTACGACATTCAGACCACGGCACTGCTGGAGGCCGTCGGTCACGCTCGGCTTTGATGGAGCGGTATTTCATGCCGCAGCAGTTTGGCCCCCGACACAATCAGCGGTCAGCTGAGGGGCGCCTGCTGCTGGTCTCGGTGGACCCTCCCCTGGTGGCAGCTGCCATGTGACCAAGGTGGGCCCCTCGCCTCATCTGACTGCCGGGCAGCTCAGCGAGCAGCTTCGCCGCCGGCGCCGGCAGCTCCTGCACACTCCGGTGTGGCGCAAGAGGAGAGAGGGGAGAGGAATGGTTGCCTGTAACTGGAATCTGAGCATACGCCTCTTAGACACACCTCAGGCTTCCGCTCCCCGCAGAGTTCCTCCCCTTCAGGGGGAGGTGTGGGGCCGCTGACCAGAGCACACCTGTGAGGGACTCGGCTTCAGGCGGGCTCCCTGCCTGCCGTGTGACTGAGAGGAGCAGAGCCTCCCATGCCCCGGGACTCCTCTGGAAGTGCAAGTCCTTCTCCCTTTCGGCTCCTGGGCACGCAGCTGAGTGTGGGCACTGATCGTGGGCCTGGAACAGGCACGAGAAACGAGGGAGGACGCACGCGCCCGAAGCTTCCTAGGGACTTCCCAGGATCGAAGGTTCCTCTCTCAAAGACTGGCCTTCTCGTGGGCTCTGCCTGGGGGCAGGTGCAGGCCTGCTTCCACCTCCCTCTGGCCCAGGAGTGCCCTCATCCCAGCCCCACCCAGGGTCCGTGCAAGCTCTCCTTCCTGCCTTGGCCATTGGGTCTGAGAAATGAAGACGCCCCCTTGTCCCGGCCCCCACGTCTCCGCTCAGTCCTGTGTTACGAGGTGGCCACCAGAATACCCTCTCACGCCCACGCTGAGACACTCAGCGCTGGAAGAAACACGGGAATATCAACATGTAAAACCCACACATGCGACGTGCCCCTTGACACAACATCCCAGCCTAGAGAGACTGGTCCCCTGTTCAGCTGTACCTTAGGACTCACTTCTGTCCACGATGTTGCCCTTCCAAGATCATCAACCGAAAACCAGCCTGCTATGGATCTGGGGGACGTCGAGTCCCACCTGCGGTTGCCTGGGCAAGCCAGACGCGTCCCACTCCAGGGCCAAGGTGCACTCTCCCCTCCGTCCGCATTTTCCCTTACGTGCTCTGTTTAGTTCTAGAGGATGGCAAGCACTTTCTTGAGCCGTGGGCGCGGACTTAGGCAGGAAAGCTACACTGTACCTGTCAGCTTCCTTCCAGGAACAGGTGACTGAGATGTGGACGGGGCGGAGAACCAGCCGCACGACTGACGCTGGTGGAGCAGCGAGTGCACACAGGGGATGGCACTTCTGCCTTCTCTGTGCTCAGCCGGCGGCTGGGATGGCAGACGCGCTGGGGGCTGGAGGGCGGCGTGAAGACACTAGGAACACGCAGAGCCCGTGGTCCCGGCCAGGTGTTGGCGGTGTCAGCTGTGTGCCATCGCCGCTGACTGGCAGGCCGTGCAGCTGAGCCACGGCGTTGGTGGGTGCAGGAAGCCAGCACCCTCTCCACCCTGCTCCTGTGTGTCCCTCGGTTCCCGCCCTCCCCATAGCACCCATCCGAGTGTTCGCCTTTCTGCAGGTGCAGAGAGGAACCATGTCAGGAAGCTGTCGGACACTCACCCTTGTAGGGTCTCAGGATACAGCTCCGCAGCCCAAGGATTTACAAAACCACGTAAGCTCGGAAGGGAATGGAAGTGTGTGTTCAAATGAGGTGATAGCCAGAGGGCAGATGTCGGATTTCTGGCCTTTGTTTGACCACTGAGAAGTTAAAACTGCGTTGGTTTTTTACCTCTCAGAATCAAAAAGGAAAATGGGAAATGGGAGTGTGTGTCAATTCTACAGGAGATGCAGCATGCCGATGTTTCAGCAGTTAGGGAGAGAATACGTCTGTTTCCAATTACACAAACCGGTTAAGAAAGGCAGTTTAAGTCAGCTGATGTTTTTTCCTTTCATTTTCTGTGATTTAAACCAGCTCATCTTTCACTGTTCACGTGGCGTCGAGGAACTGGGATGATTGGATTAAAATATCCACAGTTGTTGCCCTGGCTGTGTGGATGCAGGACCAGTGTCTATGCAGGCTGCCTACCTCTCTAACAAGAACTTTAGTATTGTTTTATTTATTATTATTTTTATGAAATAGAGCACCTGAAGAGGAATTAAATGTCTATTTCCCTCTTTGTGATTCTCTTAGGCCCATAAAGTGATGCCAATTGGGTCATTAGTTACAAACAACACTGTCAGCACAGAGTGAAATCAGTAATGAACTCGATGTGCCTCACCTTCACTTACATCCTGCGTGTCAGGGACAACGTCTTAGCAGCGACAAGCCCGGTATGGCCACCCAGAGCCTGGACTCTGCAGTGGAGGCCATGGGTACAGACCTGTACTTGGAGAGACCCGGGAGAAAACGGCCACCATCGTCCTGATGCCTCCGTCGTCCTGGGGGTCTCATAGGCTTCCTCATCGTGGCCAGTGGGGGCCCAGGTCAGCACACACCACCCCTGTACTTGTCCTTGTCACAGCGAGCTGGCCAGGAGGAGGGACAGTGGGGCCCAGGTCAGCCACACCACCCCTGTGCTTGTCCTTGTCACAGCGAGCTGGCCAGGAGGAGGGACGTGCTGGGGAAGCCCGCCGTGGCCGTCCGGCTGGTGAGCACAAGCTCTCCAGGGGTGCTCTCACACAGTCACCTTCCTCTCCTGCCCACAGAGTGCATCAGCTTCGGCGGCGGTCAGGGTGGCCGCGTGGGTGTGGGTACGTCTGCCTCTTCGTGCAGTATTGGGGAGCGGCGGGAGCCACACTCACTGCCCAGCACCACGGCTTCCTCCAGGGAATCGCTCATCCCTCCTTACCTAAAATTGTCTGGAGACTGGTGCCGGTTACCACATCATCAATGGAAACCAAAGCAGGACAATAGGGCAGGAAAATAATAAAATGTTTGTCTTCAAAATAATCACACTTCTGTGTTTCATCAGTCGCTAATCCTACAGGTCGAAAGCTGAAGAGAGTCCTGAAGACTGCAAAGGGGCTGGAGTGAAGATGAGTCGCTCCGATGTGGAGTTGAATTCCGGCGCTCCAGGGGTGACGTGCGCTGTGCACAAGGGACGTCTCAGGTGGCCCGAGTGACTCGTGTGCCCAGGGAGACCTGAGCAGGTGCAGCGTCCCGTGAACAGGAAGTTCCACAGTAGCTCACACGACTCCCACGGACCCAAGAGCAGGTGAGGTGTGCTATTCCGCGGGTGGGAGCCCTGCGCAGGTGCAGCGTCCTATGAACAGGGAGGCGGCGGTCCTGTGGCGCTCCCACGTCTTCTGCAGGCCATTTCGGAGTATCGAGGCAGCCCTTCATAACGAGTACTCAGCAGGGACGGTAACATTTTGACAGTATGGGGACAGGGCTCTGCAAACTCTTCATTTCGAACCCCATTTTTACTTATTTTCAGATATTTCTCACAGACCCAGAGCTGCTGATAAACACACCTTAAAAATTTAAACTGGATCCAGATGAAATATATGGTATTTATAAATTATAAAAGGCATCCATTAGACTAGGAAAGAAGGTTAATGGGAATTTTTATGTTTTTCTCTGATTGTGAAATGTGTCTTTTTACAGAGAGCTTATTTTCAAGTGGAATTAGTTTAATAAAAACACTACTGAAAAGAAGAGAGTAATCCCTCACATGAGAAAACACTACGATAATTATAGACTTTCACCTCGAGCACCGTATATTACTTTGAATTAATACTCAGTATCAATAAATACAGAAACAATAGAAGGAAAAACAGAATCGCATGTGTTTCCTCAATCCTAAAAATTAACATTGTCTTAACAATTTTACATCATTCCTTGGAAAATTAATTCATCATTAGATGTTTTCAATAATACAAGAACTGGAAACGTCTGTAAGACAGAAACAGAACAAAAACTCAGAGCTTGTCTAAGCAATGAGGATGTTCCTGTTGAACACAGAAGTTCTGAACTTGTCCTCTCACTTGGTCAAGGCTCCCCAAAACACTCATTCATTTTCATTCTTTCTCTCTCCCTCTCACTGTTAAAGATTTATTTATTTATTTTGACAGGCAGACTTACAGAGGGAGAGACAGAAAGAGCTCTCTGATCCACTGGTTCATTGCCCACATGGCCACAACAGCTGGGGCTGGGCCAGGAACTCCATCTGGGTCTCCCATGTGGGTGGCAGGGGCCCAGGGGATCCTTAATGTCTCTCCACCAGGGCCCTGCAGGGCACAAAGATGCACACTGGGGTGGGCCCCAGGGGTCTCCATGTGCCTCCCTCACAAGCACATGGCTGATGACTTGGCTGGGTGCGGCAAGGTTCACTGTGGCTCAGCAGAGAGCAGCCTTAGGAACAGCGGGTAGCACTGGCTGACGGCTGGGAGCTGCCGAGGTTCCAACCCAGCCAGGCAGAAGCAGACACGCTAGGAAAGCCACCCTTGGAGGAGCAGGAACGTGCCCCAGCGTAAGCCTGTTGCAGACATGACCTGGTAAAGTCTAGAATGAGACCACCTCTGCACAGGTTCAGCTCCACTAGCTTGGAACTGAGCTGTCTCCTAAAGCGAAGCCTGAACTTCCCCAGGAAGATGAGGGGCTCCTGAGACTCCAAGACCCTTCATCCGTGCTGTTGAGAAAACAATAAAAAAGTACCAGGAGAAAAGCAAAATGTGGGAAAATGTGACCAACAGTCAGGGGAAAAGCAAATAATTCACGTCAAAGTAGGCCGGAAGATACTACACAGATCATTAAGGCCGATAGAACAGACATGTTCCAAGGACTTAGAGAAAAATAGTATCTTAATAATGAGTGGTTAGGGCAATTCAACAGAGAAATGGAAAAAAGAAATGAAAATTCTTGAGAAAAAGACTAAAATAACTTGGATTTTTAAAACAGGGGGCAAGCATTGGCCTAGTAGGTAGGACGCCCACATCCCGCATGGGAGGGTGTGAGTCTGATTCCCGGCTCCAGCTCCTGGTTCTGCTTCCTGCCAGTGCAGACCTTGGGAGCGAGCAGCAAATGACAGATCAGGCACTTGAATCCCTTCAGTGTAGAAGACTGAGTGCTGGGTATTTGGAGAGTGAACTCTGTGTCTCTCAAAAGTACAAATAAAGAATATAAATATCTTTTTATGGGGTCAGTTTCTCTCAAGTCCACAAACAGAAAGGATAGTGCAGCAGTTGTCCTTTGGGCTTGTTTCACTCAGCATCATGGTCTCTGGGTTCACCCCTGTGGTCTCGGGTGGCAGGCACACATTATCTTCTGGCTGTAGAGTAGTCCACTATGAATATTCTACACTGTCTTGATGCATTCTCCAATTGATAGGTATTGGGCTGATTCCATGTTGTGACTACTGTGAAAAGAGCTGTGTTCAGCTTGGAAATGAAAATATCTTTTCGGGCCGGCGCCGTGGCTCAATAGGCTAATCCTCCACCTTGCGGCGCCGGCACACCGGGTTCTAGTCCCGGTTGGGGCGCCGGATTCTGTCCCGGTTGCCCCTCTTCCAGGCCAGCTCTCTGCTATGGCCAGGGAGTGCAGTGGAGGATGGCCCAGGTGCTTGGGCCCTGCACCCCATGGGAGACCAGGAAAAGCACCTGGCTCCTGGCTCCTGCCAGGATCAGCGCGGTGCGCCGGCTGCAGCGGCGGCCATTGGAGGGTGAACCAACGGCAAAGGAAGACCTTTCTCTCTCTGTCTCTCTCTCTCACTGTCCACTCTGCCTGTCAAAAAAAAAAAAAAAAAAAAAAAAAAGAAAATATCTTTTCGACATACAGATTTCGTTTCCTTTAATCCTGTAATCACTAGTGCAGTTGTTGATGCTACAATAGTTCCATTGTTAACATTTGTTTGAATTTTGTACCTTATCTGAAAGCAGAGACATACACAGAGACGGGGAGACAGAGGTGCAGAGACAGAGAACTTCCCTCTGCTGGTTCACTCCAGATTCCCACAACAGCCAGGGCCACGCCAGGCTGCGGCCAGAAGCCTGGCACGCAATCCAGGTCTCCGACGTGGGCGGAGGGACTGAAGTACTTGAGCCATCACCGGCTGCTTCCCAGGTGTGTGTTAGCTGGGAACTGGCCTGGAGGAAGAGATGGGACTTGCTCCCAGGCCCCTCAGTGTGGACGCACATCTCAAGCAGCAGCAATGACTGTGTCAAATGCTCACGGCCAAGTTTACCATTGGAAAACCTGCCCAATGACTGTTTTCCATGATGGCCACACTAACTCAGACCCCCACCAATTCTGCATAAGTGTTCTCTTTTCCCCACACCCTCACCAACACAACCTTTTGTCTTTTTGATAACAGCCATCATAACAGACAGGAGGTGACATCTCACTATGGTTTTGATTTGCATTTCCCTAATGACTAGTGAAGTCAAAACATTTTCAGATATATACTGGTCATGGACTCATCTTCTTTTGAGAAATGTCTTTTAGGTGTTTTGTACATTTTTGAGTAGGGATATTTGTCGTCCTACTTGAGGTGTTTGGGTTCCTTGTAGTTTGGATGCAACTCCTTGTCAGATGCATAGCTGGCAAATGTCTTCTCCCGTCCTTAGCTCTTCATGCTGTTGACTGCCTCCTTTTCTGTGTGGAAGCTTTGTGGTAAAATTGTTCAATGGCCTCTGCTTTTGAGGCCATATCCAGCAAGTCTTTGCCCAGACCAATATCCTGAAGCGTTTCTTCTAGCAGGTTCATAGTTTGGGGTCTTACATGTAAGTGTTCTATCCATTTGGGGTTCACTCTTGTATACAGAGGGAGCAAGCTCTAGTCACTTCTTTTGCCTGTGGATGTCCCATTTCCCCAACACCATTCATGGAAGATTGTTCTTTCCCCACTGTGGGCTCTCGGCATCTTTGTCGAGCAAGAGTTGGCTGTAAGTGGGTGGGTTTATTTCTGAGTTCTCTATTCTGTCCCACTGGCCCACATGCAGATGTTTACACCAGTACCACACTGCTTCAGTTACTATAGCTTTGTAGTATACATTGAAGTCGGGTAGGGTGATGGCTCTAGCTCTTCCAGCTTGCTCAAGATATCTTTGACTCTTTGTGGTCTTTTGTGGTTCCATAAAGTTCAAGAATGTTTTTTCCATTGCTGTGAAGAATGTCATTGATATTCTGAAAGGAATTTCATTGGCTCTGTAGATGAGTTTGGTCAGTATGGAAATTTTCACAATATTTGTTCTGCCAATCCACGGACATGAAATATCTTTCATTTATTTGCATCTTCTTTGATGTCTTTCATAGGTGTTTTATAGTTTCTGCATAGAGATCTTTCACTTCCTTGCTTAAATGCATTGTTGATTATTTTACTATTGAATCTATTGTGAATGAGAGTTTTCTTGGTTCCTTTTCCAGATATTTTGCTATTGAAGTATAGGCATGCTGATTTTACCTACTACAACTTCACTGAGTTCGGCTGTTTGATCCAACAGCACTTGGTGGAGTCTTGACTCTGAGATTTAGCATCCTGTTGTCTACACAGGGACAGCAGAACTTCCTCCTTTCCAGTTTAGGTACCGCTTATTTCTTTCTCTTACGTAGTGGTTCAGAGAGGACTTCCAGGATGAGGTTGAACTGAAGTGGAAGAGGAGGGCATCCTGCGTCTTCCCAGAACTTTGAGGACAAGTTGTCCTGTTTTTCTGTTTAGTGTGAGATTAGCTGCAGGTGCATCACATGCAGCCTCTACTGCACCGGGCTGTGGCTGGGACGCTCCCTCTGCATCAGTTCATGATCACAGGTGGCTGCCCCTTGCCGGCGAGTGGGCTGCGTGTGCTGTATTGATGTGCGTGCGGTGTACTGATGTGCATGTGTTGAGCCATCCTGCACCCCTGGGCAGAATCCCATTTCACCATAGTGAATGATCTCTTTAATGTGCCGTTGACTTAGGTTGGCTGGTATTTTGGTGAGATTTTTGCACCTATGTGCATCAGGGATACTGGACTGAGGTTTCCCTTTCGTTGTGCCTTGGCATCACAGTAAAGCTGGCTGAAAGTGAAAATATTTTAAGAAATAATAGCACACCTTTTCTTACATGTGATGGAAAACATTGACTTAAATCTCCAAGATCCAAGTGAGCCAAAAGGAAGATAAACACACAGCCACCCACATAAGGCCCATCCTAGGCAAACTTCTGGCAACCAGACATAGAGAAATAATCTTGGAAAACTGTATACAAATGTAAAACACCACAAGTGACAGCAAACAACAGAAGGTGGAGGACAACAGGACAAAATTTTTGAGGGTCAATACTGTGATACAACTGGTCAAGCCACTGCCTGCAATGCCAGAATCCCATGTGGGCACTGGTTCAAGTCCCAGCTGCTCCACTTTTGATCCAACTCCCTGCCAATGCACCTGAGAAGGCAGCAGAAGATGGCCCAAGTGCTTGGGCCCCTGCACTCATGTGGGAGACCCAGATGGAGTTCCAGGCTTCTGGCTTCAGCTTGCCCTGCCCTGGCCATTGCAGCCATGTAGGGAATGAACCAGAAGATGGAAGATCTCTCTGTCTCTCCTTCTCTGACTGCCTTTCCAATAAATAAAATAAATTAAAAAAATAGTTTGAGACTGAAAACAGAACACAGGTCTGAATGCAAGAGAAAGAAAAAAGACCCTTCGTAAACGTTCTGAAGTGAAGCTGAAAGATGCTGTGCCCCAGACCTGAGTCGTAGAAACGCCAAGGCTGCTGGTGAGGCTGAGGGCACGCAGTGCGCATGGGAGTCTGGGTCTGCAGCACAGGACAGACAGAAGGGCCACGCGCATCTTCCCTCCTGGCACCTGGCGGCTTACAGGAAAATAACCACGTAAGCTGGGACTCATTCAAGGTGCAGAATCAAAGTGCCACAGCAGCACAAAGCAGGGCGTAGCAGGGACTGTGACACGTGTGACACGTGTGTTACATCTGTGACCCGTGAACAATCCGATGTGAAACGTGGCCGGGAAAGCCACACGTGGACATGTGAGGCACCAAGTGTGAAGTGGGGTAATGCTGATTCAAAATACATCCTGATTAGCTTGGGTGATATTGGTCCTTATGGTAATCATTAGGCATTAGCTATGATCATGGCTACATCAGTGAAAACCATCTAAATGCTGAAACAAGGCTGAGATTCCCAGAATGCATTTTCAGAGTGCGAGTCCCAGCCACATGCTACCGCATGAGGTATCTTAGAGGTGAACAGAGACAAGGTCCAAAGGAAAGGACAGAAGATGTATCATGAAAGCTACGTGCACGATGAGGCAGTGCGGCCTATGAGTGCGAGACAGAACTGACTTCAGGAAGATGGGTATCAGCCAGGAGGAAGAGGGACACCTTACGCAGATTTTAAAAGTCAAGTCACCCAGGGGCCGGCATTGTCGCACAGTGGGTTAAACTGCAATCTGAGATGCCACCATCCCAGGTCCTGGCTGCTCCACCTTTCTGCTAATACACCCTGGAGGCAACAGATGCTGGCCCAAGTGCTTGGACCCCTGCACCCACACGGGAGACCAGGATGGAGCTCGTGGCTTGGGCCTGCCCCAGATCTGACTGTTGCAGCCATTGGAGAGTGAACCAGCAGATGGGAGCGCGCTCGCTCTCTCTCTCTGCCTTTCGGAAATATACATCAATAAACACATATATAAACTTTTTAAAGAACACAATAAAACTGCAAACTACGTAAAGCAGCTGTGGCAGAATTAAGGGACACATCTGCGACCCCGGCCGGAGGTCCCGTCAGCCCCTTGGGTAGCACAGAAGACGTGAACACCGCTGATCAGTCTCACTCACTCGATGCTTGGGGAGCCTCGGGAGGCGCGTCCTTTCCTATCGCGCCTGGCTCAGGCTGAGACACAAAGAAGACTGCATCGATCCCTCCATGACGGAACCACACAGCAAGTGATCCCTGACCACAGGCTGAAGTCAGCATCCGCAGGACACCTACCAAGGCCAAAGAAGCATTTGGAAAATTATTTCTAAACAACTCACGGGCTGATTGTTTAATAAATTACAGTGAAAATGTCCAGGCTTGATGACACGCAGCACTTCCGAATGTGCAGAACTGAAGACGCGCGTAGAGGGGACTGTGCCTTGTGAACGCCTTCCTGGGAAGGCCAAAGTGTGAAACTAGCAGCCAAGTTTGCAGCTCAGGAACAAAAGAGCAAGTTAAATGGAAAGCAAGGAGAATAAAAGAATTCAAAGCAGGACTCCATGGAATCGAGACAGCAACAGAAGATATCTAACACAGGCAGGAGCTGGTTCTTTGGAAAAGCCCACAAAGTTGATAAAGTCCTAGCAGAACTAATCAAGACATAGAGATAACGAGCAGATATTGCCCTAGCGGGAATCAGAGGCGAGGGCTTCACTGCTGGGTCCTGTCAGACGCTGGAGTGAGCAACAGCGAAAAACTCACACAAACTTTTGCTGAAGGAGAGGCAGGTGCGCTTGCCAGCTTGTCGTGAGAGGCTGTAACACTCCAGACGCAAAAGCTTGACAAATAAATTAAAAGAAATTCATCAAATGAGATCCCTCAGGACCAGAGACGTAAAGAACTCCTTTATAGAATCTTAACAAAGTGAATTCAAAAGCGCATAAAAAGAATTCTCTGTGTTAATCCCAGCAGTGCGAGTTTGGTTCAGCATTAAAGAATCAATGCGGAGGGCCGGCAGTGCTGCTGTGGTGGACACCCACATCCCAGAGGGGAGTGCCAGGGTTCAAGTCCCGAGTCCCCCACTTCAGACTCCAGATTCCTATTGATGTACCCTGGGAGGCAGACGACCCCACTGCCGGGTTTCCTGCCAGCCACGTGGGAGACCTGGATGGAGTTCCGGGCCAGCCCCAGCTGCTGTGGGCATATGGGGAGGGAATCAAGGGAAGGAAGATCTCTTTCCCCTTCTGTTTCTCTGCCTTCCAAATAAATGAAGAAAGGTAAACATAATTTAAGAAGAAAACAATGCCCGACCTGGTTTACACCGACAGATGCAGCGAGCGTTGTTCTCAGCCTTATACTCAGGAAAACACCCAGCTCCATGCAGTCAGTGAGTCCATGAGATCTGGCGTGGCAGGCAAAGACACAGCCCACGTCTGGGCGAGACCAGGGTGTGCAAGAGAAGGGGGGCAGTGCTTGCTGGGGTGCAGCAGGTGCACCTACACGGAGCTTGGGAAGTCTAACGCACTGCTCAGGCTGCCCAGGGAGGAGCCTATGGGTATCCTCCCCACGTACACCACTAGGCACACACGGGGAAGATATTGGGGGGGGCACCATCAGGCACACACGGGGAAGATATAGTGTGGGGGGGCATCACCAGGCACACACGGGGAAGATACGGGGGGCACCATCAGGCACACACGGGGAAGACATGGGGGGCACCATCAGGCACACACGGGGAAGATATGGGGGGCACCATCAGGCACACACGGGGAAGACATGGGGGGCACCATCAGGCACACACGGGGAAGATATGGGGGGCATCACCAGGCACACACGGGGAAGATATTGGGAGCACCATCAGGCACACACGGGGAAGATACGGGGGACACCATCAGGCACACACGGGGAAGATACGGGGGCACCATCAGGCACACACGGGGAAGATATGGGGGGCATCACCAGGCACACACGGGGAAGATGGGGGGGACACCATCAGGCACACACGGGGAAGACATGGGGGGCACCATCAGGCACACGGGGAAGATATGGGGGGCACCATCAGGCACACACGGGGAAGATATGGGGGGCATCACCAGGCACACAGGGGGAAGATATGGGGGCACCATCGGGCACACACGGGGAAGATATGGGGGGCACCACCAGGCACACACTAGAAATATGGGGGGCATCACCAGGCACACACGGGGAAGATATGGGGGGCACAGCCAGGCACACACGGGGAAGATATGGGGGGCATCACCAGGCACACATGGGGAATATGGGGGGCACCATCAGGCACACACGGGGAAGATACAGTGGGGGAGGGGCATCACCAGGCACACACGGGGAAGATATGGAGGGCACAGCCAGGCACACACAGGGAAGATATGGGGGGCACAGACAGGCACACACAGGGAATATGGGGGGCACCACCAGGCACACACGAGGAAGATATGGGGGGCACCACCAGGCACACACGGGGAAGATATGGGGGGCACAGACAGGCACACACGGGGAAGATACAGTGTTGGGAGCATCACCAGGCACACACGAGGAAGATATTGGGAGCACCATCAGGCACACACGGGGAAGATACGGGGGACACCATCAGGCACACACGGGGAAGATACGGGGGCACCATCAGGCACACACGGGGAAGATAGGCACCATCAGGCACACACGGGGAAGATATGGGGGGCATCACCAGGCACACACGGGGAAGATGGGGGGGACACCATCAGGCACACACGGGGAAGACATGGGGGGCACCATCAGGCACACGGGGAAGATATGGGGGGCACCATCAGGCACACACGGGGAAGATGTGGGGGGCACCATCAGGCACACACGGGGAAGATATGGGGGGGACACCATCAGGCACACACGGGGAAGATATGGGGGGTACCATCAGGCACACACGGGGAAGATATGGGGGGCACCATCAGGCACACGGGGAAGATATGGGGGGCACCATCTGGCACACACGGGGAAGATATGGGGGGCATCACCAGGCACACACGGGGAAGATATACCCAAGGAAGGGTAGAGCAGCGGCTGCTGGAACCCCCAACCCCTCCCCAGCAAGGAGAACAAAGAAGAAGAATAAAATCTGTCAGATTTCTTTTCCCTGTTATCCACTGGTGTTTAAGGAAAGAAACCAAAGTGAAATAGGTTGGAAGAGTTCGTGTGTTTCATTCCAAACCACATTCCCTGCGCCTTCCTCCTGCTTGCTCAGCTCCACTGGAGAGCTCTCACCTGCTGGGTCCTGGATGAACTGTTTTTTTAACGGTTTTATTTGTGTGCCTTCATTTTATTTGAAAGGCAGACAGAGAGACAGATGAAGAGCAATCTCCCATCCTCTGGTTCACTCCCCAAATGACTGCAACAATGCACGGCTGGGCTAGACCCTAGCTAGGAGTCTGGCACTCTACCTGGGCCTCCCACACGGGTGGTAGGGACCCAAGCACTTGAACCATCACTGTTGATTAGCAGGAATCTGGGTCAGGAGCAGAGGGGCTGGGACTCGAAGCAGGCCCTCCGAGGCGGGATGCGGGCACCAACTGTCCACCGGGATGTACTGGGCAGTAACAGCCAAGCCGCCCAAGTCCCTCCCTCCGGGGTGTCCTGCCCCCGCTCCAGCGGCCTGAGTGGTCAGGAGGCTGAGGCAGAGTTGACGTGGACCCTGAGGAAGAGGAGGCGAGGACGAGGGCTGGACAGGACACGGCCCAGTGTCCAGGTAAATCACCACGGGGCCCTCAGCGCTATCCAAGGCCGGCATCCCTGGGCACCACGTCCTCTGAGGCCCTGCAGCCGGACGTGGAATTTGAGGCTGGGAATCCGGCTCCAGCAGGTTCTCGGGGACCGTGTGTGGGAGCCCTCGGCGCCCAGGGAGACCAAGCAGCGGGGCTCTGCAGCTTTACAGTGACCTGGCCGCAGGCAGGCTGGAGAGCAGGCAGCTGTCAGGGACCAGCACATGGCTGGGCGCTTGGCTTTGCCTAAAACTCAAGAAGAACCCCAATTCGACTCAGAGGGCACCCTGACCCCAGTGTGCCCATCAGGGGTAGCAGTCCACGTGGCTACCGGAGCTCTCCTTCGGAGCCCTGTTTATTTCAGATGTGCAGGGGGCGTGGCCTCGGTGCACCCGGACTCCCACCTGTACAACTCTGCCTCCCACCCACGGCCTCTTCCTGATATTTACAAACAATGTATGCCATCTAATCACTCACTTTTGCTTTCCTCAATTCAGTCAGCTGTTAATAATCCTGTTGTCATTTTTTCTCATACTTAGGACCAAAACTTTATTCATTCTCCTTGGAAGCTCTTCTACCAAGCCACTATAAAAACTGTCACTGTCACTATCAATGCCCAGTCCTGACACCTGTGAAGAGGTGTATTTTACACTTCAAAAGTCAGTCTACACAGCTGACAGAACCCTGTCACAGTCTTACAGCCTGCTCTTGTCAAATATTTGGGAAAATGCATTTTGCTTTTAAAAAAATATGTGGTTTCCACAGAGAAGAAAACAGTATGTATTTATCAAAAACTTACTTTATTTCTTTTCCCAAAAAAAAGAAGTCAACTTTTCTTATCCATTGATTTTTTTTTTTTTAGGGAAAAAGCAGTAAAATGGATTGGGATCATTTCCGTGTTTCATCCCAATCATTTCTTGCTCCTAATGACCCTGAAGGTCAAGGAGGTCATCCAAGTGCCAGATGAATTACTGGGAAGAAAGTCACAGCTGCTGGGGCCGTCACTGTGGCATAGCTGGTAAGGCCACCACCTGTGACGCTGACAACCCATATGGGTGTCCACTTGTGCCTTGGCTGCTCCACTCCCAATCCAGCTCCCTGCTAATGAGCCTAGGAAGGCAGCAGAAGATGGCCAAGTGCTTGGGCCCCTGCCATGCACGTGGGAGACCTGGAAGCAGCTCCTGGCTCCTGGCTTCAGCCTGGCCCAGCCCCAGTCATTTTGGCCACCTGGGGAGTGAACCAGCAAATGGAAGATGTCCCTCTCTGTCCCTCCCTCTCCTTGTAACTCCAAGTTTCAAAATAAATAGATAATGAAAACAAAGTCACAGCCATGTGACCGCCAGGGGCGAGGGAAGACACTGCGGCTCCTGTCCCAGCAGGTATGCTGGTCCTCGGCACAGCCTCTGCCCAACCCGTCGGGATCTGAACCTTGGCCCTCTGTGCCCCGCCCAGCCGTCCAGGGGACAAATCCCCACTGCCCTGGGGCACCACTGGGGACAGTGTGAGGAGCCCAGCCCCTCCCTGGGTAGGCTTGAAGCTTGCTACGGCCCCGCCTTCGATCCTGTGTTGGTCTCCATAGCCCTGGGGCTCCACTCACTGCGTGGGGTGACAGGAGGAACAGGCACCAGAAACCCGATGACCTGATCCTGTTCTGCCATGAGCTGTCTTTCCCATGGGAAAATCCACCTGGCTTCTTCCAACTCCTTTCTCTTGTGGGTGCAAAAGATGAAATAATCCCCAACCTCTGGCTGTGTGGAGGTGACCTGGAGACCAGGACGGACTTGTGAACTTGAGGCAGGGCTGCCACAGCCTCCGGTGCTCTGCAGTTGAGGCCAACTTCCCGGAGAGGCGAGGGGTGCCGCAGTGAAGGCACAGCTTGGAGTCCCTCACCCCATGGGGGAGCGCCTGGGTTCAAGTCCTGGCTCCCTTCCCACTTCCAGCACATCAGGGGCGGCAGGTCATGGGTCAGGTCGATGGGCCCCTGCCACCCACGGGGGAGGCCTGGCTGCAGCTCCTGGCTCCTTCCTGGCTCAGTCTCGGCCAGTGCAAGCGTTTGGGGAGTGAACCAGCAAATAAAAGCGCTCTAATAAAACAGTAAACAAACACAGCCTCCAGCGTTCTTACCCCGCTCCTCTGGCCAGCTCCGGTCTGCAAGCAGCTGGAACTCGTACTGGTATTCCTGTGGGGAAAGAGAACAGAGTGGGCCCGGCTTCCAGGTGGGAGGAAGAGAGGCAGCAGGGCACCGCACAGGGCTGCGACCGGCACACCACCGCCTCGCTGGCATTCCGAACTCCCTCGGCCGCGTCTCGTGCTCCTGCTCACAGGCCGGGGGAGGCGAGCTGTTGGCCAAGCACGGTTCCCACGGCTGTGCCCGGGATGCTGTACAGTGGGTGGGGTCTCCCATCCTCAGCCCCTCATCAGGTCATTGCTGCTGTGGCCCCACCAAGGTCATGTGCCCACCCCCAATAGAAGCCAGGGTCAGATGCTAGGGGGTGGAGCCCAGGCCGAGAAACCCCAGGTCCCTGCCTGTGCTGGGGGGCTCTGCTCCTCGGCCTCCCTGGTCCCGTCCAGTTCCACTCCCTGTTTTGTGCCCAGGGCTTCCCACCTGGAGGCCACACAGCTGGGATGCCTGGAGCTCCCACCATCAACGACCTCTGCCTTCTGCAAGGCTCTCCTCCTGTGGGAAACGCTTGTGTGACCATGGGGAGGAGAGTCCCGTCCCAGGCCCTGGTGGACACCCACGCAGACCTAGCTTCTCCTCACAGCTGTCACAATGGAGCACAGAAGCTTAGGCACCCGTGCCCCGCCCACCAGGTCTGGGGCATCCGGGCTTCAGTTACTGTTTACTGAACAGGTGAATGGGTCAGCAGACCAGGGCCTGAAGGCATGGCTGCCGGGACCCTCACTGGTTTCCACCCTTCCTCTTTTCCTCCCCGCGGAGCTGCCGGTCCTCTTCCTGCTTGTACCCCTGGTGTGGGAAGAACTCGAGAACCACTGGGCCCTGAGTCCACAGCAGGTGACTCAGGGGTGGGCGTCACCATGAGCAGCTCTGGGCCCTATGCCCGGGGAGCCTGCCCGCCGGGTGACACGGGGAGTGCATGCTCCTGGACACTCGGGTCAGCGTGGGCTCAAAGCAACTGCAGGGCGTGGCACCTCCCTCGGCACGCGCCTGCCACCTCAGAGCGACGTCTGCAGACAGCGGCGCAGGCGCCAGGAGAGGTGGCCGGGAGAGATGTGTTCCAGAGGGAGGTGCCCGTGTCCACAGTGGCCCCTTTCACACCCGCCCTCCGGCTGCACATCGGCGAACTCCCCACTCCCTGCTCCCCTCGCTGCCCTGGCCACTGCGCCTGCCCTCTCCGGGTCTCAGGCTGTGACTGTCTCCTTCCAGAACCCTCCTGTGAGGCTCACTGTCACACCAGAGGCCTGACGCTGTCGTTCCACGGCGGGTCAGCGGGAGGGCGCGGTAGCAGTGCGGGCAGAGTGCCACGCTCGTTCCCATCACGCTGCACAAGCTGCCTCGTTCATCCTGCTTGGTGTGCAGGGAGAGGAGATGTCATCAGCGGCCCGGGGCTCTCCGCGTGCCCGCTGCACCCTCGGCTTGGGAAGCCACTGTTCCGCACCTCTGTAAGCCCCAGCGTTCTCGTCTGTGAAACGGAGCGGGAAGAGGAGCAACCATCTCAGGGCCTCAGGGACACGGAAGGCGCGTGCGAGGGAAGGCCTAGCACAGAGCAGCGCATGCAGCAGCTGTCCTGGATTCTGCCGCCAGTCATCGCGGGAGCCACACCCTCCCGTGCTGCACACGGAGCGCATCCCCCAGCTTCTGGGCGTCCCCCGGTCTCTCCCATCACACAGTCCATGGAGAACATGTGGCTGGGCAGAGTGCAGTGACAGCAGCTCCTGGGGACGGGAGCAGCCTTCGGTGAAGCCTCCAACACCTGCTGGTCAGAGCTCACGGGTGGGTGCTCTCGGGGGCAGGAGGCACTGGCGGGAGCCAGGGCAGGACACACAGACACCACTGCTGCACACCTGACGGAAGGAGCAGGCAGCTCCCAGCACGCGGGGGCCCGGAGCTGGGCCAGACGCGCCCCTCCCGCTGCACTGGTGGGCGAGGGAGCCAGGCGCTGTGCTCCACGCTCCTGCCAGCCAGCCACAGCAGGTGCCCAGACCATCTCCCCTCTGTTCCAGCACCCACAGCCAGGATCTCACTCATCTCTAAGAGCACAGGTTCCCTGCTGTGCAGCGGACCAGGGGCCCGGAGCACCGTGAACTGGAAGCTGCCTCCTTCTGCTCGGGGCGGTGCTCAGGACAGGGGTGGTGGCAGCCTGGGCGGTCAGAGACGGGACCTGGCAGGCACGGTGTGGGGCGGGGTCCCTGGGGACAGACGTCCTTCCACCCCCTGCACTAGGCACCGCCGCACGGGCACCTGCCTGCTACCTGGACTCCGAGCCAGCGCCGCTCCTCTCCCAGGGCTGCTCCGTCAGCTGCTCTCGGCCCTTCGTCCTCTCGGGGCTGCTAATTGCCCGTGAGCAGCACGGCTTCTTAATTCCGACTTCGCTAGAACAGCAGGCGGGAGATGGAATCGCTGTAATGGGGTTAATGTTCATCGCTAACGCAGGAAGAGGCTTGGTCTGAGGCCGCCCTTCCAAACCTGTCATCCTGAAATAAAGCAGAGCCTGGGCCAGGAACAGCGCCGACGTGCCCTGCCGTCTCTCCTTGCTCCCTTAACCCAGGAGCCCCACAGCCAAGGAAGCTGGACGCCCCGGCTCGCGTCATCAATGCCGACGATGCCACCAGGGCCACAGGGGCCCTGCTGATTTCAGAGACTCGGGAACCGGAGAAACAGTCCCGACCTCTGCAGCACACAGAACGCTTCCCAAGTCCCCGTGGGGCACGCGGTGCGGGTGCATCCAAGCAGGCACTGCCCGCGCAGGAGGCGGGGACGGGCGCCACAGCCCAAGTCCCGGATGCGGACCCCGTGGAGTCCGAGCAGACTCAGCAGCGGCAGGGACCCCGGCAGCGAGAGGAGGCAGCCCTTGTCCAGCGGGCTCTGCAGACGGCAGCGGTGCACCTGAGCTTGTCCAGAGCTGTCCTCTGACACAGAACTCTGGGATGCACTTCCTGAGGCCAGTGGGCGCGAGAGCAGCCCCGCTGTGGTGATGAGTCCTGGCCTCCGCTCCTGCGCTCCGCCCCACCCACCCCACACAGGGAGGCGCAGGACCTCACACGCACCCCAGCTCCCACCAGTGCTCCTGAGGCCGTGGGGTCTTCTCTAAGGAACCAGGAGCTGTGGGGCAGGTCTTGGAGAGGCCCTCCCTGGGGACACCCTGGGAGCAGCTTCGAGCAGCAGAGGGGGTGGTCTGAGGTCCCACGTTGCAGATTCCACAGGAGGCAGGTGGCCAGGGGCCAATCCTACAAGGACAGCAACACTCGTGAGCGGGTCCTGTCCCTGATGACGCCACACAAAGGCATGGCCTGCGACAGGCCCGGGTATGGGGTCCCCCTTCCCCAACACAGGCCTTGCTGTCCCTGTCAGCTGTGTCCCCTCCCACAGAGAGTGCTCTGGTCCCCAGGTCAGGGGGCTCCACTAAGACAGGAACGGCACTGGCTGACAGACAGAAAGGCAGTGGAGTCCTGGGGTTGGTGCAGAGGGCACGGCAGGCATGGTCACGACTCCCACCTTCATGACAAGTCCCCACCCCACCTCCGCAGCTAGGAGCTCTCAGCCCTGCACGTGCTCCTGCCCTAAGCACCCGAGCCCCTCTCGGTCAGCCTGAGTCTCACGCCGGGCACTTGCAGCTGAAATGGAGGGAGGCAGGGTGCAGAGGGCTGGGGTGGCCTGGGGAGGGGCCCAGGAGCACTGGCGGCTCACGAACTGCTCGCCTTCCAGGGACAGCAGACTCGTCCCGGGGCTCTGCATGCCCGCGCCCGCACCTGCACCCGCACCCGCACCCGCCCCACAGGGGCTGAGCTTGGCCCAAAGATAGTACTGATGACCGCCTCCGACTCTGACCGGGCCCACACTGAAGTTTCCCTTTGCGCTACTTAACGGGGGTCTCCTGCTCTTAAGAACTACCAGGTGGGGGATAGAGCTGATAGAGGGTCAGCATCCTGGGGACAGAGCCAATGAAGGGTCAGCATCCTCTGCACCGGGCCACTGTCGTGGGAGGGCTTTGTGACCACAGCGACGTGCACCTCTTCCCTCCTCTACTCAGCAGCAGACACTGGCCACACACTGCGAGCTGTGCAGGCGGTCAGGGTCAGACTTGGGGGACGACAGGGTCTCTGTTTTGGTCCCTGGGGAGGAGCAACGGCCGCGTAGACCCTAACAGGCAGGGCTTCCAACGCCATTGCATTTTGTGTCGGAAGCAGACGGCGACACAGGCACACACCCAGGGCTGCCGAATGCCTGCAAGGCCCCACCTCCCCACAGGATAGGCTTTACTGCGTGAGAACACCTGGCCGCTGGCGCGCGCTGCCCAGGCTCTCCTGCCAGGAGGGTGGAATGAGGACCTGAGGGAGGTGGAGGGAGGGTGCTTGGAGCCGCGCCCACAGGTGGCTCCCGCATTTGTTCCAAGACGCTGGGAGGCCAGAACGTGGCCACACAGCATGCCTTGGGGCCTTAGTCAGCTGCGTGGGCTTCCTGAACCCCACTGTGAGGCAGATGAGCCCAGAGCATAGAGAAATGACTGAATTTGTCACTCCAATAATTGGAACAAGAGGAAGCACAAGAACCAAAACGTGGAGAAGAGTTTACACCCTCACTGGCCGAGGAGCCCGCGCCAGGGCAAACCCAGGATCTACTTTCACTCGTGTGAATTAGCAAGAACGCTATGTGGGAGACTTACTGGGAAGAGGACGTTACGCAGTCACTGCTGTATTACTGTCGGCCTCGCTGTAGATGTTTCTGGAAAGAGCAGCAGTGAACAAACGTGGTCAGAAACTCTGGCCCAGTCGTCTCACTCCCAGGACTGGATCCTAAGAACACAACGCAGTGGAAGCCAAAGCTCTGTGAAGGACATCAGCAGAGCAAAAAAGAAGCCAGGCTGGGAAGGGGCCATGCCAGGACGGTGCAGGCACACTGCCCAGGGAGCGCGTGCGCAGTCACGGAGAAACACGGCCACGGGGAAAACGTCCTGGAGCCGAGTCTGAGAGCCGCCAGGAGTGCCGTGGGCAAGCACGGCGGGGGTGTGGGCAGGCCCGGCGGGGGTGCGCTCAGACGACACACGACACGTCCATGTTATCCACAATTCCAGTGTCACTATGCCTTGTCTTCTTTCTCAAGATGTAGCTATTTATTTATTTCAAAGGCAGAGAGAGTGAGAGGTCTTCCATCTGCTGGTTCTCTCGTTAAATGGCTGCAACTGCTGGGGCCAGGCCAGGCCAGGCTGAGGTCAGGAGACAGGAACTCCATCCTGGTCTCCCACGTGGGTACAGGGCCCATGACTTGGGCCATCCTCCACTGCTTTCCCAGGCCACAGCAGAGAGCTGGACTGGAAGAGGAACAGCTGGGACTGAAACTGGTGCCCATTCAGGATGCTGGCGTCTCAGGCCACAGCTCCACCTGCTGTGCCACAGCGCTGGCTTCACCACATCTTGTGTTTAATGAAAACGCATTTGCAGATGAAATCCCAGATCTCCCTCAGGATAAGGAGCGGCATGGCACCCACTGACTTCAGAAACAAGCAGTCGTGTGATGAGTGACAGCTGCAGCCCAGGGCCCGGCGGTGGCTCCTGACCCAGGCCTGCGTCCTGTGTGGGGTCTGAGCTGTGTCCGATGGAAGCCACCCAGGGGATGTCCCTGCTGCTTCCAGGAACCGGCAGCGGGGCTCGGCGGCAGCTTCCCAGAACCGCGGCTTCCTGGCAGGAGGGTCTCTGGAGACTCTAGGCAGGCCCACCCGACACAGCGGCTGAGAGGTCTACACTCAGATCCAGGGGTCCCGGGGGTCTGGGGTCCATGTGAAACCTGCAGTTTCCCTTTATTTTCTCTCTCAAAGATGCTAGGGACTCCAGGATATGTGTAGCCTGGCTTCATATTTCATCGTATTTTTTATGATACAAATGTTACTCCAAGATCTGCGGATTATTTCCTGGGTGTTTGAAAAGGAAGCTTCGCCTAAGCTTACTCACAGGCACACAGGAAACACAGTCCTTTGATTCCAAGAAAGAAAGATGAGCCTGGAAGGGGCTGGGGGCTGGGCCTCTCCTGGCGCCATCAGCGCCTGTGATGGAGGAGACAGCGCCAGCCCAAGGGCAGCCGCGGGCAGTGGCTCTGACCCCCGAGGAGGACCAGCTTGGGGTGACCTCTCGCCCCGCACACGAGACGGGGTCCCTGTTGCCGCTCCGCCAGCACATGGAACAGTTCTTTTCCTGCTGCTTGGTTACGGAGGACGGGCGCACACCAGAGACTGCAGCTCACACCGTCTTCTGCACGTTGCCTGACAATCGTGCGGGAATCCAGCGGCTGTCTGAGCTGCTATGCAGCTGTTGCTAAGTCCACGCAGGTGCCTCCCCATGGAATTACCCCGAGCTTGGATGAGGGACACAGGGATGTGGTACCAAAGCTGCAAAGCCGGGAGCCCAAGCGAAGGCCTCGTTCATACCTGCTAACTCCTGCAAGGTCAGCATCTGGAAGCTCCCGCGCTCAGCCTCTGGCCAGACAGCAGACTCTCACGCTGACAATCTGACGCTTGGGGGCTGCGTTGTGGAGCAGCGGCCTGAGCCGCCACTTCCAGGGCCGGCATCCCACGCTGGAGCGCAGGTCCCAGTCCTGGCTGCTCCGCTTCCAACCCAGCTCCCTGCTGACGCTTGGGAAAGCAGCAGGTGATGGTTCAAGTACCTGGGCCTCTGCCACCCGTGTGGGAGGTCAGGCTGTGTTTCTGGCTCCTGGCTTGGGCCTGACCCAGGCCTGGATACTGCATCCACCTGGGGAGTGAACCAGCGGATGGAAGCTCTCTCTCTGTTATTCTCCTTCCAAACAAATGAATAAATCTTTCTTAAGAAAGGAACTCGGGGGCTCAGACAGTCTCTCCCTGCACCACCTCCTCAGGACAGCACGTGTCTTGTCACTCCGCTAGGCGTCAACAACTGTGTGTCTCTTTAAGAGCCAAGAGCTTATTTTCTAAAATGCAAGTTACTTTACAAACCAGCGTCAGCTCCAGTTCCAAGCATGCACACCCCGTGTCCTCAGGGGCATCACTTACGTGGGCAGGGGGAGGGCGGGTGCGAGGACAAGGACAGCGAAGGCCTGTGCGGTGGGCAGCTCAGCTGAGTCATCCCGGCGTGGCCTTGACCCCAGGCGAGCTGCGTACGCTGCCCGCACTGAGCACCAGGCTCAAGGTTGCTCAGCCGCAGCAGGGCTCCGCAGGCACCCAGGACAGACGCCGCCTGGGGTCTGGACCAGGTGCACGCAGATTCCCCCGCGGGTCCTTCCAGGCCCAGTGGTCAGCTCCGCCAGAAAGCAGGCCCTTAGCGGCCGGAGATGGACCGGCCTGGAGGGGAAGCAGTGACAGCTGCCTGCGTCATCACTGTGTGCGTGCAGGTGCTTTGCGTCCTCACCCTTTGACAAAGCCTGGCCTCTGCAGACACGGGCAGAGGGGGGGTCTCTTGCCAGGGCGGGAAATTCAGTCCAGAAACAGGGGGCGGGCACAGCTGGGCACAGTGCCACGTGCCCGTCTGCAGGAGCAGCTTTCGGCCTGAGCTGGCCCCGCCCGCGGAAGCAGAAGCGGGCATGGAAGCACAGTCTCCCTACCCTCCCGAAGCCACCATCAACAGAGAGGGGCAGGCGGCACGGGCCTGCTCTGTACAGGGTGAGCTCTGGCTTGTGCCTTCCACACTGCGGCACGCCCACTTGGGTTTCAGTATGAACATGTCTTTGGTGGCCTGCCATGCAGGATGCAGCTCAGACCCGCTACAGCTCCTGGGCCTCGCTCGGATGCCCATCCGTGTCACCAGGTCAGGGCAGGACCCCAGATGCTGCCCATGGGGCTGCCTGGCGTGGGCCCTGTGTGCTCTGGGAAGCACCAACCCTGGGTCACAAACTCAGAGGGGCAGGGCGCAGGGGTCTCCTCCAGGCAGCAAGGACTGGGTCAGACAAGAGCAGGGACCGCAGGTCTCTAGGTCCTCAGGTGCCTGCCACACAGGCTCTGTAGAGCCCTCCACCTTTGCCCCCTCACCCCACCCCCACCCACCCCACCCCTGCTCCAGAGAGGCCTTTTAGGAAATAAGGGGAGGGTGTGTGAGGAAAGCATTTATACAGAGACAGTCACGCCCTAAAAGGTCCATTCAAGGGCTTTGCAAGGATCCATATCCCACGAGGACCCACCGGGAACCACGAGAACCAGGAGCTCAGTTACAAAGCACGCGTCAGTCGCAGGCACCAACTCCGTGGTTCATGAGATGACAAACCAGCAGCCAAGCGCTGACTCCGGCTGTGTCCTGTATTCCACGGGGGGACTTAGAGGCACTGGGCCTGTGGTCACCATGAAGCAGCAGGAGTCAGCCGCTCCGAGGAGCTGGCCTGGCATTCCCGACGGGAATAACCGAGGCAGCGACCGAGCTGCACCACACGTGCCCCATGTGTTCACGGGAGAACTCACCAGCCCCAGCGGAAGTGCTGCTTCCCACCGTCGCAGAAGGCGTCACGTTTATCCAGCAGCTACTCCAGGAGGCACGGTGCTGGTTGCCGTGGCTACACGTTGTCGTCTGGCCCACACAGGAGGGTTCCCTGGAAGGGAGGCGCCGAAGCCAATTCATGTCCACCTTTGCATCACCCGAGTGCCTCCCAGCTCAGGGTGGGCGCCTGGACCTTGGCGAGGCTGTGGGTGGGGTCTTCCCTGCAGGGATTGGTAAGTCCCCCACGAAAGCCTGAGCACCATCCACCAAGGGGTTAAATGGGTTTTCCAAGCCAGCGGCATCTGCATTGTGTTCACACCTGCAGGGAAGCACACCTCGGTCCAGGAGCCCTGCCTTTTCCATTCCTGCCCCAGAGCAACCAAAGTAATGGATTTCAGCAGCCACGCCGACCCGTTTAACTAAACCCGGCCCCTCTAACTAAGGCAGAAAATCCAAAGCAAGGTCCAAACGGCCGACAGGCTGAGCCGAGGAGGTCGTGAGCAAGCAAAGAGAAGTGTGAAGCCTTGGAAGGCACCCCAGGTCTGGTTCTAGATCCCTCCTCTGCCTCCCAGGGCCTGAGGCACTGGGTTTTGCAGCCGAAGTGACAACACGGTGATTTTCCCTTAGAGACCACTCCACAATGCTGTTTTATAACACAGTCTTTAGGAGACATGTTCTGTTATCTTTGAACAAGATTTATTTATTGAAAGGCAGAGTGATGGGGGGGAGAGAGGGGAGGGATGGAGGGAAGGGGAAGAGAGAGGGAGAGAGGGAGAGAGGGAGAGAAAGAAAGAGAAAGAGAAAGAGAGAGAGAGAGAGAGAGAGAGAGAGATATCTTCCATCTGCTGGTTCACTCTTCAAATGGCCACAAAGACTGAGGCTAGGCCAGGTCAAAGCCAGGAGCCAGGAACTCCATCCTGGTCTCCCACATGGATATAGGGGCCCAAGCACTTTGCCATCCTCTGCTGCTTTCCCAGGGAGCTGGATCAGAAGTGGGGCAGCCAGGACTTGAACTGATGCCCATATGGGATGCTGGTGCTGCAGGCAGGTGCAGCTTAACCCACTGGGCCACAGCACCGCCCAGACATACTCTATCCTGATGAATGAGTTTTCCTTGTGAAGACGGAGCTGCTGAAGGTAAGACTTGTGACTCTTGGTTAAGCAAGGATTCAGTTTCTTAAACAGAGAGCACTCACCATGAAAGGAAATAAACAAGTCCGTGAAAAACTGAGACCTTCTGTTTACCCGGGGACGCAAGCGTGGGGAGGAAAGGCAGGAGGAGGGGCAGACGTGGACACACTCCCACCCAGAACAGACTCAGGCCAGGGACCTGCTGCTGCTGGACAAGTGACCGCCAAACAGACGCTCATGGCAACAAGCCCTCGGCCTCCCAGGGTCGGGGGTCAGGGCTCCACACCAGGCTGTGCTGAGGGCCTCTGGCCCCTGAATCTCAGCAGGGGCTGCCCTTGGTTCAGGCCCCATGGGGGGAACCCTGCCAGCCTGTGAACGTGGCTGTTGGAGCGGCCGACACTGCAGTGGTGGGCTGGAGGCGGCCATCCTTGCCTGGTGGGCCTCTTCGATCTGGGAGCTCAGCTTCCCCTGAAACAGGGAGAAGGGACCAGCAAGACCGGGGCCGGCGTCATTTACAACCTCGGCCCCTGTGCCGTGTCAGACTCCACAGGAGAGTCGCAAGCGTCTGTCAACACCCCTGGGCAGGTGCTCAGCGTGTGAGCGCAGGAGCTGAGGGGCACTACAGGGCACCTTAAAATGCTTATTTGTGTTGTTTATTTGAACATCAGAGAGAGAAGGAGACAGAAAGAGAAATCTCCCGTCTCTAGGTTCATTCCTCAAATGCTGCAACAGCTGTGCCTGCAAAAGTGAGGCTCGGCCAGGCCGACGACAGGAACCAGCAACTCCCTCTGGGCCTCCCACATGGGTGGCAGGGACCACCACATGCGCAGCCACAACCGAATGGACAAATTCACCTGATAAACATGTACATGAATCCCTGAAACAGGCCAGTCTCACTCGTGGTGAGAGGAGAGAGCAGGCCCCTGGTGAGACTTGGCAGGAAGGCCAGGGCCAGGTGCGCCCTGCCTTCTTGATGAGGATTATCTGCTCTGTGAAGATCTACGCACTACACATGGCCAGCACTGTGGCGCAGTGGGCCAAGCTGTTGCATGAGATGCTGGCAACCCATAGGAGCACCAGGTGGAGTCCTGGCTGCTCCACTTCTGATCCAGTTCCCTGCTAATGAGCCTGGGAAGGCAGCAGAAGATGGCTCAAGTGCTTGGGCCCCCGCCACTGCTGTGGGAGACCTGTACAGAGTTCCAAGTGGCTATTTGAGGAATGAATCATTGCATGGAAGACCTTTATTTCCCTCTCGTTCTTTCTTTCAAATAAATACATATTTAAAAATAAATGCATAAGTAGAACAACATACACATCTGTGACCTGTGCATTCGGGTGTGCAAGGACTTCTGGGACACTCTACCCCATGTCGGAACACCTGGGTTCAAGTCCTAGCTCCACTCCAATGCCAGCCTCCTACTGTGCACTGTGGGAGGTGGCAGGTGAGGGCTCAGGCAGCTAGGGCCCTGCCACCCACATGGGAGGCCCAGGCGGAGCTCCCGGCTCCTGGCTTTAGTCCCAAGCACAGGGCCACTGCAGGCACCTGGGGAGTGAACCAGGAGACGGGAGCGTTCTCTCTCATTTTCTCTCAACTAAGTAAATACATTTTTAAAGGAATAAAAAATTTTAAAACTCATATCACATTTATTCCCGCTACACAATTCAAAATGGCACCTACAAATAAGTTCTCATAAGCAGAAAAAAGACGGGTAAGCCAGTCCGCTGCCAACTGAACCATGTGTCCACGGTGGTGGTGTCCCGAGCCCCAGTCCCTGAGGCCCCGACTGCCGGGAACTGGCTTCCATTCCTGGCAGCTGGAGGCTCACCACATCCTTTACTTCCTGCTTCTTCCTTCCCCAGAGAAACGCTAGAAGGGCTCTGATCCGGGGAACCCAGGTGGGGCTGCCCTTCCTTCCCGTGTGCCCACGGCCACCCACGCTGATGCTCTGTCGGCAAACGAGACCAGAGATGGGAGCGGGGTGGGGGAGGAAGATGGGAGCCACGGGACAAAGGCCCCCTGGGGTGGGGGGGTAAACAGGCGGGTGGGGGTGTTCAGTGGAGTTCAAGAGAGCACAGCCGCGGTGTTCCCAGAGGAGGGAGGGCCACACAAGGGCCTGAGGAGAGCCAGGTGAGCCGTGGGATCTGCCAGCCCAGCCCTGTTCACCCTGTCGGCTTGGTGGACGGGGTTCCAGCTGCAGAGCTGCACGCCACTCCGTGTCAAATACCGTTTGGAACAGGTGTTACCTGGGGAACGGAGCCCCAGGGTCCTCCCCCGGCCATGTCCGCCTGGCGAGAACTGAGGCCTCGCAGGGACCCGGGCAGCCCTCCGTGCTTCATGGAAGCAGGGCATGAGGTGGATCATCCCACCCCAAAGCCGAGTGGCTGCCTCTTCGTGAACTTGCAAAGGGAGACCAGCGGGAAACAACACATGTCACAGGCCGGCAATCTTGTGTTTTGTCTCTGCCCTGGGACACCGCATCAGACCTGTTTTTCTGGGGGCTGGAGGGCCCACACTGCCTTCCCAGTGGTAGGCCACGTGGGAGAGACCCCACAGCTGTGTTCCCACTCGGCAGCTGTAAGCACGTGGTTTTCAAGGCTTCAGGTTATAGCGGCTGGAGTAGAAAGCCCACTGACCAAGCCAGCGAGGTCAACCCTGCCTCACGGAGCAGAGGGGGAGAGCCCCTCTCCAACACCCCCACCCCACCTCTTCCAGACATGGCAGTGTGCACGTGATGACCCTGGGGACTCACATGTGATGACTATGGAAAAACACATGTGATAACCATGGAGACACACACATGACCATGGAAACGTGTGGTGACCATGGTGACACACACGTGATGACCATGGTGTATACATGCATGACCGTGGAAACACATGTGTGGTGACAAAACGGTGACACATGTGTCATGATCATGGTGAACACATGTGATGACCCTAGTGACACACACACATGATGACCATGGTGAACACACACATGATGATCACAGAAACACATGTGTGGTGACTCTGGTGATACATCCATGATGACCCTAGAAATACACACATGATGACTATGGAAACACACATGTGATGACCATGGAGATCCAAGTGTGATGACACTAGTGACACATGTGATGACCATGGTGACACACATGTGATGAATATGGTGACACATGATGACCAGGGTGTACGTATATGTGATGACCATGGAAACACACATAATGGTCACAGTAACACATTTAATGACCTTGGAGACCCGAGTGTGATGACTCTGGTGAACACACGTGATTACCAAGGTGACACTCACATGTGATGACCCTGGTGAACACACGTGATTACCAAGGTGACACATGTGATGACCCTGGTGACACACACATGATGACCATGATGAACACACTTTGAAAACCCTGCTACACAGTGGAAGCTTACCACACATCTATTACAGGGATTCTAAAAAGTAAATTATGGTTTTTTTCTGCATCATTTAAAGGCCTGCTGTATGAATCCCTCTCACTGAGGATTCTATGTTTGCATAAGGTGTGAAATCATTAGTTTTAAATTAGAATTAATGTTTGACATCAAGCGGAAGGAAGAAAATTAATCTGTCTTGGGAAAATACTAAACGGTAGTGAAATAAACAGATGAGTGCCGTATCATGTGCCCTGTGTGCTTCCTGCATGGACACAGGTGTGCTGCACTGTGCACCCTGGGTGCTGTACAGAGCAGCATGCATCTGCTTCCTGCATGGACACACGTGTGCTGCACTGTGCACCCTGGGTGCTGTACAGAGCAGCACACGTATGCTTCCTGCATGGACACATGTGTGCTGCACTGTGCACCCTGGGTGCTGTACAGAGCAGCATGCATCTGCTTCCTGCATGGACACACGTGTGTTGCCCTGTGCACCCTGGGTGCTATACAGAGCAGCACGCATCTGCTTCCTGCATGGACACACGTGTGTTGCCCTGTGCACCCTGGGTGCTGTACAGAGCAGCACACATATGCTTCCTGCATGGACACACGTGTGTTGCCCTGTGCACCCTGGGTGCTGTACAGAGAAGCATACGTGTGCTTCCTACACACTAGACACGGATGTTTAGAGGTGTGGCTTCTTCATAAGCCAAGGACTTGCTCTCTGGGCGTGCAAGGCATCCGAGCACCAGTGTGGCACTGAATGTGGGCCTCGCGAGCTGCAGACCGCGCTGGACTCGCCCAGGCACATCTAGGAGACACTCATCTGGGGCACTTTTCTAATCACTTCCATTCTTATCAAAAGCAAAATCAAACTATTTCCATTGCAAAAGCAAATTCCAAACAACACCCACTGGAATTAGCAAAGCAACAGTTCATCAGAAAATCACCTGTCGAATTCAGTGCAACCTGGAGTTGCTCGTGGGTGTGCTAATGGGCGAGTTCAGGCTGCAAGCAGGAGTCGGCTCTTCTGAGACAGCCTCATTCCAGGGATCCCCTGAGTGACAGCTCCACGTCGTCCCCACACGGGTGACAGCAGTCAGCTCTCCCAGACGTCTGCCACGGACACCATCTGAAAGAGTACACAGTACTTTGGAACTCACTCAGGCTCATTCTGCCAGGAGGACACCCTCTCTGGGCACCCGGCCACCAGAACCCACCCTGCTCTCTCTGTGGCTGTGGCCCCTGAACCATGGCCTGCAGTTTTATCAGAGAGCAATCAGGAAGAACCCAGGGCACTGAGGACAAACAGGTGTGCATGAGCCCTTGGGGCAACTGAGCTGTGGCCATATTTATTTATTTAGACCCGCGTCCTGCTGTTCCTCCACCTCCACGGCCACACCACCATCGCCTCTCACCCGCTCTTGTCTGAGCCACAGCAACAGCCCCTGCTGCTCTCCTGTCCTCAACCCTGCTCCACACCATGCAGCTGCCACGGGGAGCCTGCGTGGGCCTGGGCCTGCTGCAACAGTGGGGGCCGTGCGGGCGGGAGAAGCAACCCCATGCCTGGGGGAGGCATCACTCCCACAAGGACAGGCCTGTGGCTCTTCCCAGACGGCAGGCCTGGCCATTCCCAAACTCAGCAGAGGACCGCGCCATGCTGGGGCTCAGGGTCGGCCCAGAGGGGTCCGTACCCACAGCACCCAGCTGTCCACCAGGGAGCCCGTGGGAGGCGTGGCCTTGGCCCAGATGAGGCGGTAGGTTTCAGGGCCTTGCGTCCTGGGTCCAGCCTCACTCACACACCTGTGGCAGGGGGTCTGCAGGGTGCATCTCCTGCCATGCAGTCTCCTCGTCAGTTCAACCAGAGCCGCGGCAGGGCTTGATGACTCTTCCAAGTCCACAGCGGATTCTGAAATGTGGATCGGCATTGGAGCGCACCAGCTTAAGCCACGGTTTGCGACTCTGAGCCTTCCCAGAGTGCTAGTTTGAGTCCAGGTGGCTCCACTTTCCATCCAGCTCCCTGCTGATGCACCTGGGAGGGCAGCAGAAGATGGACTAAGTGCTTGGGCCCTGCACCCATGTGGGAGACCTGGATGCAGCCCCTGGCTCCTGGCTTCAGCCTGGTCCAGCCCTGGCTGTCACTGCCATTTGGGGAGTGAACCAGTGGAATCTCTCTCTTTCTCTTGTCACTCTGCCTTTCCAATAAATAAATATAACTTTTTTTTTTTTTTTTTTACAGGCAGAGTTAGACGGGGGGAGGGGGAGCTTCCTTTTCTGTTGGTTCACCCCCCTCATCCTCCAAATGGCCGCTATGGCCAGCGTGCTGCGCTGATCCGAAGCCAGGAGCCAGGTGCTTCCTCCTGGTCTCCCATGTGGGTGCAGGGCCCAAGGACCTGGGCCATCCTCCACTGCACTCCTGGGCCACAGCAGAGAGTTGGCCTGGAAGAGGGGCAACTGGGACAGAATCCAATGCCCCAACCGGGACTAGAACCTGGGGTGCCGGCACCGCAGGCGGGGGATTAGCCTAATGAGCTGCGACGCCGGCCCTAAATATAACTTTTAAAAATAAATACATTAAATTAAAATGTATCTGGAAACATAAAGAACTTAGATACCTGAAAAAGGAAGAAATTTGGAAGACTCACATAACCTAAACTCGAGATTTATGGTAAAGCTATAGCAATCACACACACACGTACACACACATGTTCACACATGCACAAACACACACATGAAATCAATCTAGCTTGAGTCCAGAAATAGAACCAAGTGATATTGTGTATTTATCTTTTTTTAAAGTTCAAGGATTACTTGATGGGAAGCGGCTACTCTCAAACAACATAACCAAGACTGGACGCTGATGTGCAGAAAATGAACTAGATCCTCATGACAGAGTACACAGAGGTCAGCTCAGTGACCTCTCACACACACACACACACAGAGGTCAGCTCTCAGTGACCACACACACACACACACACAGAGGCCGTTTACAGTAGGTCACAGACTTTAGTGAAAAATTGGGAGCCATAAAACTCCAGGGAGAGAATTTGAGATCGTAATCTTGATTTCTGCAGGATCTCTAGGACATAAGAATTATGAACTGGAAAGGACATTTTTCCTAGCACCTGGAGGACCACATCGCACATCAAATATGTGAGTTTGAGTCCCAGCTCCAGCCCTTGGCCCTAGCTTCCGGCTAATGCACCCTCTGGGACAGTTCACGTAGTTGGGTCCCTGTAACCCTGGGGCGAGACCTGGACAGCATTCCCAGCTCTAGACTTTGGGCTTGGCCCAGCTCTGGCCTGATCAGGCATTCGGGGAATGAGCCAGCAAATGGCAGTGTTCTCTTTCCTTACAAATTATGGTCTATAAAACAAAAATTTAATAAATTAGGTTTTATCAAAATTGAATACTTTTGCTTTGGAAAATATATTTTTTAAAATTATTTATTTGAAATGCATTTACAGACAGAGAGCAGGAGAGAAAGGTCTTCCATCCACTGGTTCACTTCCCAAATGGTTACAATGACCAGAGCTGGGTGGATCCAAAGCCAGGAGCTAGGAGTTTCTTCCAGGTCTCCCAGATTGGTGCAGGGGCACAAGGACTTGGGCCATCTTCCAGTGCTTTCCCAGGCCAGTAGCACAGAGCTGGACCGCAAGAGAGCAGCTTGGACATGAACTTGTGCCCATATGGGATGCCAGCACCACAGGCAGCTTAGCCTACTATGCCACAGTGCCGTCCCCAGAAAATACATTTGGAGACAATGAGAAGACAACATGTTCTTGCAGAAAATATTTACATGATGTATGTCAAGGATATGTGCAAATATACAAAGAGCCATTGCAAGTCACTAATAACAACACAACCAACCAATTTCTTAATCGGTAAACACTTCAACCAAAGAAGTTACTGGAATGTAGAATAACCCGGATATAGGCTCAACACCAATAGCTGTTGGGAAGCAGAAATTAGAACCACAACAGTATACTAGGCTCTACGCACCAGAATATCTAAGAGTAAAAAGACCGATAAAAAACAACTATTGCTAAGCACAGAATGCTGGTATATTGCTGGAGACTGCAAGTGGCACAACCATTTTGGAAAACAATGTGGTGGTTTTTTATAAAGTTAAATGTGCATATACCATGTGACCCAGCAGCCCCACCCCTGGGTATTTACCCAAGGTCAAGGAGAATAGATGCTTACACACAGACCTGTAATGTCTGTAGCAGCTTAATGTGTAAGAGCCACAAAAGACAACCCATCTAAACCTCGACAGAGCTGCAGATTCACACAGTGAAATGACTGCTGATCTGCCCCGCACATAGAAAAGTCTCAGAGGGGTCAGCCCATGCAAGAGGCCAGACATGAACCCGGCCGGGTTCCTGTGTATGACATTCTGGAAAGGTCAGAACCACGGCAGCAGCTGGGTGGTTTGCAGGGCTAGAGGCGGGAGAAGGGCTGACGACACAGGAGCGTGCGGGGAGGAAATCCACCCGTCACGAGACCGGAGAGATCTCTACATACTCGTCAGAACTCGTCCAAGTGTGCACTTGAAATTGGTGGATTTCATTGTAAACAAATCACTCTTCAAAAGGCTGATTCTTAGAAAGCAAGTGAAGCAATGGGGACACAAAATGGAGCTGGAAATAAGATTAATAAAATTTGACTCTGATTTAATGGACTGTGTGTGTGGTTCTCGGGTTTCCGGCCGCCGTGGCGAACATGAAACCCAATCGTCATTAATAAAACTCACCGGTCTCGGTCCCGAGACCAAGTAGCAGCTTCCCTCCACGCACAAAGTGGGTGCCACTTAGCACCTGCATTAACCACAGGACACTGGCTCAGCAGACCCTGTGCTGGACTCCTCCTCCCGTGGATTCATGGACTCCTTTCAGAGTTGATTCAGCACAGCCAGTCGGGGCAGCCACGAAACAGGACGTGCGGAAGCTGCCCTTTCTCCAGCCGCCCTGGCCAGGGTCAGATCTGAGCACACTTCACCTTCAGACCTTCCTTTCCTAAGTGTCTGGAAACCACTGGTGACGAGGCTCAGGGCGAACTTCTTGTTCGCCAGAGCCAGGCCTGTACGTGGTGGCACATTCATGTCAGCCGTGTTCCCTGACTGCACGCTTCCCTCCGTGCTGACGTCAGAAGTCCACACTGGGGTCCTTTCTGCACATGTGTCCCCCGCAGGCCCTGAGCGCGTGCAGGGGCCATGTTTCCGAGGCTACAGCCCGAGCTGTGGCTAGCAAGGTGGCAGGCGGAGGGAAGGAAGCATGACTGGACGTCAGAGACTTCTCTGTGCACCGCAGGCGCCAGCTCACTCACCCCCACGATGCGGTCAGGACGGGGTTAACACCAGGAACCGACCGTGGAAAAGGAGCGGGAAGTTCATTTTCACATAAAACACCCAAGCATGCTATTTCATCAGGCACATCTCCCACCAACTTTTTGAAGCCCCTCATGCGGATGGATTTCAAAATCTGTTTGCCTATAAAATATAAGTCTGTCTACTGACTCCATTTTCACAAACTTCAGTCCTCTCACTGGACTCAGGTGAAGAAGTTAGGACGACGCAGTTAGGAACCTGCCCAAGATTGTGACAGCTTGTAAGCTCATTTTTTTTTTTTTAAGATTTATTTATTTATTTGGAAGGCAGAGTTATAAGGGGAGAGACAGAGAGAGACCTTCCATCTTCTGGTTCACTGCCCAAATGGCCACAATAGCTGGGGTTGGGCCAGGCTGAAGCGAGGAGCCAGGAGTTTCATCCAGGTCTCCCATAGCCCGACGCTTCCGGGTTCCCCACTTGCCTTCCTGCCGGGTGCACAGAGCCCTTCAGACGCCAGCACTGGGACCCAGTGCCTCGTGTGGGCCCTCAGTAGACCCAGGGCTGTGATCTGGCCAAAGCCACCCCCTTGATCTGCATTTCGTAGGCTGAGCCTGCTAACCTGTATCCACCCTGACATCAAGGACCCTTCGACTGCTCTCAGCACACGGACAACTCTGCGCATCCTGACTTTAGCTGGGGGCCAGCAGCTCCTGCTAAGCTCCTGGCAATCAGCTCGGCTGGCACCTCCTGACAGGCCACCCGGTGCAGACAATGCCTGAGGAGTGGAACTACACCATCCTGAGGCCGCTCGGGGTAAATGGAGCCGATGGACGCGGCACCCATCTTTGCAGGTGGAGTGTTCCTGCCTTCCACACCCAGCTTCCCCAGGCTGGGCAAGGCTGCACAAGCTCCGCTGGCCAGGAGTCGGTGTGGCCAGTAACAGCTGGCCCAGTGCTTCCTCCCTGACTTCCCCACCGCTGTCTCACGTGGGCACCCACGTGTTTGTCTCTTGCTCATTTTGGCTGGGGAGCACGTGGGGACCAGGATCAGTCTGCTATGGATATCTGCAAAGGGAGAGGAGAGATCTGCCCCCACCCCCACAGAACGTTCCGACGATGGTCAGCCAGGGCCCTGCGTGCCCAGGCCTTGGAGCTGCGCTTCTGCCGTGAGGCTCAATCCACCCAGCACGCCTTCTGTTTGCCACGACCTGGGATCCCTGGGCCGGCTGCGGTAAGATGCCCATCGGGTCCACCCCTTGGAGGACAGCTCACCCTGTCCTCACTGGGCCTGTTGACTGCAAAAGCCACAGCACAGAGCACTCGCCTCCAGCAGAAGTGACCAGCAGGGCCAGCCACGTGGCCTTCCTGCCCACTGGGCACCCTGTGCTTCAAGGCTCCGCTGGCCAGGCTCTCTCCCTAGCGGCTGAGAGCTGTCCCTCCCTCCCTGCCTGCCCCTTCAAGCCCAGGGCAGGTGCACAGTGACCCCACTTCCTGTGGGCACTCCCTGGGCTGGCTTCCCTCTGAGCCACGCTCAGGGCCACTGCTGCCTAGGTCTGCGTCTGAGACCCCACCCCACTGTCCTCTCACACCCAGAGCACCCCGGGAACCACTTACTTTACACAGAGCGCTGGAGGCACCGGGTCCCGGCCCTCACTGAGCGTGCCAGTGCTGTCACCACACATCTGCGACTCACTCTCGACCCCAGGCTCCGCGGCTCCCCACGGGACGCACAGGCACCTGCTCTGCTGCTCTGCTGTCCACTCTGCACAGGCCCGATGGCAGCAGGAAGAAGCAAACTGACCAAAGGCAGCTGCAGTCATGGAAACGGGCGTCACTGTTCCCGGGGAGAGGCTGCCACCCCTGCTGCTTCTCTTCCGTGGCCGTGTCAGCCTCGTGTCTGCGCCTGACGGCTTCTACAGCCACTGCTCTGCTGCGGCCGGGGACCAGCGGCAGGCACTGGGGAGGTAAAGTCTGCTTCTCAGAGCGGGGAGCGAGCAGGAAAACTGCTGGAGGCATCTGGGAAGGGAACCAGCAGATGGATGATCCACCTTCTCTGTCACACTGTGTCTCTCACTCTATCTTTCAAACAAATGAATGAATACATAAATACACCTTTTGAAAAATCACTGGAGGGTAAAAGTGACGGAAATGGAGTTTGTAACATGGCTGATGTGGACTTACAGCAACAGGTGCAATGCAGCAGACAGGGGGAAATGAGGCTGGAGAGGGTGGGGTCCTGCCGTGGGACAAGTGCCGCAGTGCTCAGTTGTGGGGGTGGGGGGTGGGGAGTCCCTCGTCTTGTGGGAGGAGGGAGGAGCAACCAAATGACCACCTGGGGCCCTCTCCTTCCTACAGACTGCGGGCTGCACCTGCCCAGCCTGCCTGCAGCAGTGTGGCCACTGCAGGCGTTCAGGGAGTGACCCCGGGATGAAGACCTCCTTGTCTCTCTGACACTGTTCCTCTCAAACGAATAGAAACACATACCTATCGTTTTAAAGGAAAATTCCCCAAATCTTCATTCATCAAAATCCTATCTGGTCCTGCTGTTCCTCCGCTAAAATCCCGTGGTGGCTTCTTGGCGCCTTCAGGAAGAATTTCAGATTCCCGAGAGTAAGGCAGGCTCTCCCCACATGCCAGGCTGCCTCCCGCGCATGGGGCGCCCCACCCCGCCCCCACCTCCCCACCTGCCTCTGTTCTGCCTGCCCCTGGCCCCGAGGGCATCCATGGGTGGGACCAACATTGGCTTCAGGGAGCCCCTGGAGTCGGGAGTGACGCCTGGACAACTGGGAGTCCTGGAAGGAAGAATACAGAAAGGACTGAGTGGGAGCCGCCGCACGGCAAGTCCACCGCCATGGGTGGCTGTCACGCGCGAGCCCCGCGGCAGCATTTACTCACTCTGCTTTAATGAGACAACTCACGTGTCAAGGCTCAGGTGCCGTTTGGGAGAATGCGTTTATCTCAGCGCCCCTGTGAGTCACTGGACCCCTGGGGCCGAGGACTGAGCCAGCACAGGGAGGCGTCTCGTCCTGCACCAGAGCACGAGAAACAGAAGACAGAGGCGATGATAATAAACGTGAAAAAATAAAATAAAGTCAGCAGCATGACTGGCAGCCCAACCTTGCCTACTCGGGGCTTTGAGCCGGGTCACAGGGAGTAGACTCTGCAGACCCGCCCCGGGCATTTCTTGCTGATGGGCAGCTCCCCACACAGCCCCTGGCTCACCAGCCCTGGTTTCGGGAAACGCCCCCGGGGCCACCCCTCCCCGCTTGTCCCCTGCCACGCCCACTGGCCAGGGTCCAGGACGAGTGGGCTCAGCGTGCGGAAGGGCAGCAGGTGTGTGTGGCAGTGGCTGCAGCAGCACAGTGTGACCTAGTGTGTGCCAGGCGGGCCCTAGGACCCAGGAAGGAAGAAGCAGGGTTCCTCCCTGGAGCTGGGATGAGGGAAAGGCCCAGGCGGGACTGCCCTGGGACCAGCAGAGCAGAGAGCGGCAGAGCGTGCACTCCACGACCTGTGACCCAGGGTGTCCCCATCTCTGCCCAGTATGTGACCCAGGATCAGCACAGGCACGGAGCCCTTCTGCTGGCTTTCCCTCCGACAGCTGAGAAAGGCTGGGTTCAGGGAAGGAAAATGAAAGTGACTGTTTGTGGTAGAACACTTCCTACAAAGCCTAGAACCTTCTCAGAACACGCAGAGTGTGACAGGGCAGGGGAGGGTGCAGCCTAGAACCTTCTGAGTGCACACAGCGTGTGGTGTGATGGGGGAGGGCACAGCCTAGAACCTTCTCAGAACACGCAGTGTGTGACAGGGCAGGGGAGGGTGCAGCCTAGAACCTTCTGAGTGCATGTAGCGTGTGGCGTGGCGGGGTAGGCACATAGCCTTCTGGGAGCAGAGACTTCCCCCACGCTCAGGACAGAGACAGACGCCATGGGAGACCACCCTGCCGCACAGACTTCCTGCCAGGACCCACCGACTTCCTCCCGGACAAGGACTCGGGCTCTTTTGCTGCAAACCAAAGCAAAACAGCAACAACAAAAAGAACCAAGGTGAAAAAGAGAAGAGCGTTTGCAATGAACTCTTCTAAGGTACTTCCCAAGGCTAAGCAGAGGCGGCGGACGGTGCCCCCAGACATCCTCCCAGTCATCTCTGCTTCTTCTCACCCAGACCTCCTCTGGATCATCACTGCTTCTCCCCCCCCAGACCTCCCTCCTGTCCACCTCTGTTTCTCCCCCCAGCAGACCTCCTCCCAGTCATCTCTTCTGTCCCCAGACCTCCTCCCGGCCACCTCTGCTTCCCTCCCGTCCCGGACCTCCTTCCAGTCATCTCTGCTTCTTACCCGCCAAGACCTCCCTCCTGGCCACCTCTGCTTCTCCCTCCCCTGGTTCTTCCCCCTCCGCGTCCCCCCCCGCCCCCGGGGCCAGCATCAGCATTCTGCAGGAGGAGCCAGGGACGGAGCTCCAGACTTTGGTCACCAGGCAGAGCACAGGGCAGCCGGGAAGGTGTGGGTTTGAAGGCAGAGCCAGGAGGTCTCTGCTGTCCTCGGGTGTTGGCCCTCGAGCCGAGAAAGACAGACTCCCTGCTTCACAGCTTTGGAGGATAGGACAGAACCGGATGCCCTGGTCACGTGCGGTGCAGCCTGCGAGGGGCTCGCCACCAGCACAGCACTCTGGCCTCTGGTGGTTAAAGGCCACAGCCATGGCTCAGCTGAAGGCCACAGCCTGCACCACTCTGCTTGCTACGATTCCATGAAACGCAACTGCCTCTTGAGCCTGCAGGCACTACACACAGAAGCAGTTCTGTGAGAACACACAGCCACATCACTGCTCACGGCTCCACTGCACGGGAAGATGGGAACTGTAACATCAGAAATACAAAATGTGCAGGGAAACGAAAGCGTGAGACTGTTGTACATGATGAAACTCGGCAGTCATCGGCTTAAAATAGCTTTTAGTGCTCTAAGTCATTGCTTATAACCCACGGTAGTCACCAGGAGAGTGGCCTGGAAGATTCCCCAAAGAGGAAGAGGGAAGAAACCAAGTACACTGCCATGAAGGATTATTAAGTCACGAAACAAGAGCAAGGAAGGAACAAGGCAGTGCCACAACCAGAGAGCAGAAACGGGACCAGTGACCCCTCCCATCCACGGGTAGCAGTGCCATGCTGGTTCAAACACAGGACTGGGGGTGGGGGGGTGTGCGCATCAACAGTGCTTTAGATGGACGCAGATCAAATTATCCAACAGAAGGCAGACAGCGCAGCAGATTTTTAAAAATCCAACAATATGCTTCCTATACGAGATTCCCCCTAGGTTCACAGACAGGGAGAGAGGCAAGGGACTGAGGAAGAAGTTCCAATAAACCATACCCAGGAGAGGACGGGCAGCCGTGCTCAGAGCAGCAGAAAGTCACGGAGACGGTGTCAGGTCAGGATAAGGGGGAGACCACGGCCCTCACAGATGCACGTGCCCTCAGCTTCCCGGCACCCAGGTCTGCAGAGCAGGGGAGAAAGCGACGGTAGCACCCACCTCCCACACTTGCTCATGTCCAGAGAGCAAGTCAGTAAGGAGACAGCACACCAGAGCGGCCAGGTGGGCCCAGCAGACCTAACGGACACCGCGGAACTTTCTGCCCCACGGCGGCACTCATGGAGCCCTCCCAGGACAGGCCGTCCGCGAGCCCCGGCACAGTCGCCAGGAAAGGCATTGAGTGTTGTCTCCAACCCCAGTGGAAGCTCAGAATCAGAAACAGGAGGTAAACTGGGAAACTGACAGATACGTGGAAATTAACCAACGCACCCCTGAGCACCCAACCCCATGAAACAGAAATCAAATGGAAATCACAAACATCTCGAGGCAAACAAAAGTAGAAATAAAACACTCCAACACTGTGGGATGCAGGAAAGGCAGATTTAAGAGGGGAAACTGTAACAATAAGTGTATGTTAGGAGAAAAGAAATACCTAAAATAAACAACCTAACTTTACATGAAAGTAGCAAAAAAAAAAAATCTAAGCCCAAAGTTAGCTTAAGGAAGGCATAATAAAGGTCAGGGCAGAAATAAATGAAATAGAGGTTAGAACACAGAAGATTAACAACATTGAGTTATTTTGTTATTAACAAAATTGACAAGAGAGAAGATATAAATAAAATCATCAATGAAATAGAAGATAATTGATAACCACCAAAATACAAATCATCATAGGAAACCATTATGAACAGATATATGACAACAAACTGGAAAAGCTGGAGGAAACTGATACATTTCTAGAAATACACAAACTTCCAAAACCGAATCATGAAGAAATAGCAAATCTGAACAGACCGGTAACGAGGAAAACAAGGGAATCAGGCAGCAGTTGGTGCAGTGGCTAGGACGCCAGCTGGGATAGCAGCATCCCCTATCAGACTACCAGGATTCAAGTTCTGGCTGCACTCCTGATCTGGTTCCCTGCCAATGCACCCTGGGAGGCAGCAGGTGAGGGCCCAGGTAGCTGAGCCCCTGGGGAGACCCAGCCTGAGTTCCCAGCTACTGCCTTCAGCCTGGCTCAGCCCTGGCCAGTGCAGACGTTTGGGCAGTGAGCCAGAAGATGGGAGATTTCATCTTGTGTCTCTTTGTCTTTCTCTCTGCACCCCAAATAAAGAGTTAATTAACTTATTAATTTTTAAGAGGAAGATTGAATTGGTAGTCAAAAATCTCCCAACAGAAAAGACCCCAGGGCCAGCTGTCTTCCCCTGGTGAGTTCCATGCAACATTTGCAGAGGAATTAATACCACCCCCCTAACTCCTGCAAACACTGAAGATGAGGAAAACCTCCAAACTCAGCTCACAAGGCCAGCGTTGCCCTAATGCCAAAGCCACACAAGGATACCACGTGTAAGAAAAATACAGGCCAACACCCCTGATGAACATCAGTGCAAAAACTCTCACCAAAATATTCCCAAACTGATTTCAATGGTACTTTGGAAAGGTCATTCACCATGATGAAGTGGGAGTTTTACCAGGAATGCAAGGATGGCTCAATATGGCAGGCATTTGGCACAGTGGTGAAGACCCCACTTCAGATGCTTCCATCCTGTATCAGAATGCCCAGAGGTAAACTCATACACTGGCTGCCAAGGAATCTTTGACAGGTGTGCCAGGAATAGGGAATGGGGATAGGGTGGGCTCCTCAGTCACTGCTATGGGGTCAGCTGCATATCCACAGGCAAAAGAGTGAAATCAGACCCGTGGGTTACATGGTGCACAAGCATCAGCTCAAAACGCAGTACAACTTTCACGGAAGACCTGACCCACGTAGCTCCTACAAGTAAACACAGGAAAAAGCTCCTGGACAAAGGTCTCATGGTGATTTCTCAGATACAAGGCCACAGCATGGGCTGTAAAACCGAGATAAATGAGTGGGATCATGTCAAAGCAGAAGTGGTCTGCTCACTAAAGAAAGCAAGAAATTAACTGATCAGGCAACCTAGAGAATGGGAGAAAGCTTTCAAACCAGGTATCTGATAGGAGTTGGTATCCAAAATACATATAAATAAGGTAATCCTGTCCCCTGGATATCAAAAAACAGCCTGATTTTAAAAAGTGGGCCAAGCAGGGCCAGCGTGGCACAGCAGGTAAAGCCACCCCCGGTGTTGCCAGCATCCCACAAGGGTGCTGGTTCGAGTCCCAGCTGCCCCACTTCTGATCTTTCCTGCTAATATTCCTAGGAAAGCAGCAGAAGATGGCTCAGTGAGAGAACCAGAGGGAAATCCAGGCTCCTGGCTTTGGCCTGGCCCAGCCCCGGTTGTTGCTGCCATTTGGGGAGTGAACCAGCAGATGGAAGCTCACTTTCTCTCTCTCTGTCTCTGTCTCTCTTTCTCTCTGCCTCTCTTTCTCTGTAACTCTAGATTTCAAATAAGTAGTTGTATCTTTAAAAAATAAACTGGGCAAAGTACCTCAACAGGCATTTCTCAAAAGAATACATAAAACTGGCCCACTGAATCAGAAATGATGTATCACTAATCATTAGGGAAATGCAAATCAAAACCACAG